CAAGACCACTAACAATATTCACTGACCGCATTTATTTAGCCGGTGGGTGAAACCAGATATACCTTTAGAACTGAGTGATTTTATCTTTACTCTTTTTAATGTATTGTTATTATTTATGATGTCAATGCCTTGTTTTCTTTTGTTTTCTTTGAGCCTAAGACCTCTTTCACAGTGCAGCACATGCATATGCAATTTGTTCATGTGTGCGCAAACAGTGCCAATCTTTTTTTTGTGTGTGACCACTTTCATATGTGGAAAATATTCGGTCAAGTATGCGATTTGTGTGTGAGTGTGCTGCACTAATTGGCGTTGCTACATTAAGAAACTCCTGAACTCCTGAAATAAATTGAAGTTCTTTTATCAATAAAACAATTATCATATAGGCGCTCCTCTCACACGCACAGCAGCCGGAGACGGGGATAATAGATGTCGAGAGAAAGACACAAACTCAGTAGCTATTTTTACACTTGCTTTACAGATTTGTATTTTTACTTATTCTCTTCTGGTATATTATCCTTGAAACTGTCTGAACCCAGATTTTAAGTTAACGTAGTGAGAAGCCAACTTCAGGTGCAACAAGCTGTTAGCTAGGCCTGTAGCCAGGCCCAGAAACCAGACCTGGCAGCTTTGAGGCAGCTACGTGTTAAACGTTACACACAAAGAAGACTGCTCCATCTGTATGCGCTAGAGGCAGGCTATTGTTGCAGCCGACGGGCACATGGCTTGCATCTTAACCCCTGAACATCAGCATCTCTGCACATAGACATATCTGCAAGTTAATTTTGTTGAGTCCAGAAAATCATTAAGGCAGAGAATACCAAATCTTTCAGACAAGAACCCTCAAAATAACTATCAATAATTTATAGCATCAACAGATTAGCTGTCATGTTGGCTGTTTGAGTCATATATTGTGTTATGTGACCTAATTTCTCTTAAATTGTAGTGTTTATTAACAAATAATTTACTTAATAGAATTCTATGACAATTACATTATATTTAAAAATGCTCTTGAAACCCACGGTTTAAATCCCGTTATTCTATTCTTGTCAAAAAATCAAATTTGTGCTCTGTAATCCAGTTTTATTTCGTTCACATATGTACACAAAGTACATTTCTAATATAAATAGTTAGCCTTTTAATCGTTCATCTGTAAATTGCTATTGTAACTTAGTTTATTTTTTTTTTTCATACTTTATTGTGTCATCTTCATTAGTTCAAACTGTTTTCTTAATACATACAGCTTAACCAGACACATTTTAATTTCTTTTTTTTTTCCCCCTTCTTGTAACTTAGTTTTTGATGCATTCAACAGAAGATACACATAATTGTTGTCTGAAACATGGCTGATGTTAGGGGCTTGAGTGCATAGTCCTATATGGACCAATGTGGGTCACAGGCCTAGACAGGGTGACGTGGCACTACACTAGCACGCATAGTAGTCTTAGTTATTATGGGAATACATTATCCAAGAATATTTTTACCATAACAAAGCTGCATATCTGTATGAATTTGCACAGCATATATTGTTTACGTTTATTTTTATCTTTTGTGTGTGTGTGTGTGACTCAAATTGTCATTATTCTTTTCCCATGTGGCCCAGCCATTTCTGTGTTGTAAGATATGAATGATAAATTTGTGATCTGTAAAGCTTGAAGAGCTAAGATAGCTATGACCAGTTTGTCCTTTATAAAATAATGAACCAAACTTTTCTAATAAATTAGCTATTTCTAAAATGACCCTAGAGAAGGGAGTTTCACGGTTAACTTAAAGTAGGGCAGTGGTTTTCCCAAAGCATTGGCCAAACGCAGATGAGAGCGGAGTTGCTGAAAACAAGTGGCCGACAAAGTGAACTAGTTCTGCAAGCCTAATTGGGTGTTTTATCACTACTAATACAATTTAGTGAAGTCAGCTCAGAAAGCTACATTTATTTTATTCAAATTAGGAATTATTATTATTTTCACATGATCATTAACTTTTTCTATATTCTTGTAGTGTACATAATACACAACAACACACAAGTACAGATATGTTATTTTCTACTTCTAAATTCACAATGTAAACGTAATGGCTTATAAATAATTTGTACAGTTTCTCTTTTTTTTTTTTAAACCAGGAAATACAGACAAAACATAACATGTTCAAGTAAAAACAACAGTTTTATTGAGATATTTTATCACACATGCACACCACACTTTAAGTTCTTACACTTTAAGAACACTTATAAAAATCAAAATTTCACTTCATTGCTTTCTACAAAGTCAGAAGAGTAATTTCAGGCAGTGAGAATAATTAAAGAAATCATGTGTTTACACAGTATTTCTAAACGTCCAGTTTCCACTGTACATTCCCATACAATTCTTACAGAATTACTGAATGTTGAGAATCATATCAATGTTTTTTCAATAATTTTGTAGATTTAAAATGTGTGTTGGTAAATTAATTATTACATTTTTCACAAAGATGTATTAATTTACATTTGCTTTTAGATTCAATATAAAGCAATATCTGAGAGAGAGTTACTTGAGCAGCCATGTTGTCTTCTCTATTCCTCCATTTTGAGAGCTGTCTTTTAGTTTGTACCTCATCCATAACAAACTATGTAATGAATCCGGAGGTTTACACATACAGTGTTAGATTAATGACTGTCTAAAATTAATTCCTGACTTTGTAGAAGAACTACCTCTTTCGATATTTCGGCATTGAGCCAATAGATACAATTTTGGCAAAAAATAACCAAGGTTATTACAGGTGAAAGTATTTCATTATGTAAACGTCCAGTTTCTACTGCATATTAAAAACAATTGCCATCCATCATACATTTGACAACCTCTTTATGACGTTGTGAACTGACTGAACAGGCCACACTCTTCAGAGGAAGCACAGGCCCCTGTTTGACAAGGCATTTACCTCTTAAGTGATTTGTCCATGTAATGGGTGTGTGTGACGTGAAGGCAGTCGGGTGGTGATAGCTTTTACAGCTCTGCTGTGTAAGCCAGTGTGACCTGGAGCCTCATAGGGTTGTCAGGGGTCAGGGAGGTTAATAGAGACTGATGTTTGAGGCCCCGAGTGACATCCCAAAGGGGATGGCCCCTTAATCCTTATTAGGGCTCTGCTAGTGATCCTTACCTTTCAAAGCAAACAGCACGCTCTCTTTACTGTGGGGCCCGGCGTTACACTCCTGACCCTGGGGTCCTGGCCTTTGTTCTAACCACTTCACAGTCTGACCTTTAGGGTCATGGTGTAATAGAGAAGTCGTCAAGGCGCGTGTGGCTAAGAGGCCCCTCACGAACTGCCATGTAGATGGAGACAGAAAGTTCAAATCCAAGTTTCATGGATATTTATTTGAATAGCTTAATTCTACTATTTAAGACTTTAAGTCAAAGTCAAGTCACTTTGGGGTAATTCAATTAAGCAAATTAATAATACACATTAAACTAATAATAATCCTTTATAGCATTATCCTTATCTTATTTATCATGTTGTCCCAGTGTAAATGTTGAGACACTGGGAGAACATGCAAACTCCACTTGTTAATGAGAGGGGACAAGCTTTGTCCACCAAGTTTTATCAATGGTATTAACAGCTCCTGCAGAAAATTGGCTGCCAGAAATGAGCAGGTGAGCCAAAACCAGAGCTGTATCCTTGAATGAACTCTCCACGTACGGCGCTATGGGCCATGTTTGGATGATAAACAACAGACCAAGAGGAGCAGTGTCCTGGATAGATATGCGAGACTTAAGGATTGCTACATGCAAATTCTTCAAGGATTAGATACAAATGATAAATTATAGTCCACTTGTAGTAATACTTAAAAGTATATAGAAACATTTTCTACTTCCGCGGGATCATCAAGACTATTGGTCCTAATAATTAATAAGTAAGTAAGTGATGTTTACAAACCAAGGTCAAGAGGGCGGTTCTTTCCTAAAATTTGGGAAGTCATCCTATATACCTTTAATTCTCACAGCCATTGCCATTAGTTCCTAGATGTTGTCAATATTCTGAACTTCATCTTCTCATCTATGGCATTATTTAAGTGTGACTTGCAGCACTGCTATGAATGCTTCTGAGTTAGTATATTTGACATTGTTGTAAGTCAAGGATGAGCACTGCAGCGTAACACCCTTTTTTTTGGGTTGTCTTGAGTCAGAGAGTGCCATTCCCATTGTGTTTTCGTACATGCTCTGTATTACAAGTACAATGCCATTTATTATAACATATAATACATATATCTGGCCTGTAGTTACACTGACCTTATCTTCTTTGCTAGAAAAAAAAAGTCATATTTTTCAGTAACGATCTGGGCTAAAAAAAAAACATGCAAAGAGATTTTTCTTTATTGTGACAATCTTGTGAAAATAGCCAAGTACATTTATAGCATTCTGACCATTGGAGAAGTTGGGTGAGCCTCATACACCCTGCAGAGGTGTGTGTTTCAGCAGCATCATAAGTGGCATCGATACTCGTTCTTCACCAGCTGCTAACAACATGGTTGTATATTTCTATTGTCCTCAAATTGTATAATGTTGACTGGGTTTTGTTGTCTAGAATGTGCCCTGAATGTGAATTTGTTTGCTGCTTCTGCGAGCAACCAAGCAGTACACTGCAGTAAATATTATTATTTTATTATTATTATTATAGCACATTTTCACTGTTGTAATCAAGGTTGGGCAGGTCGCACCCATGTGCTTATCTGGTTACAATTATATGCCAGAGCAGCAAGTGAAGGACTCAGCTCCTTACTATGTTTTTGGTGGAGAGAAAGCTCCTAGTAAAAAGAAAATGTTTGTGCATTTGTAACATTTCACTAGTTCAATTCACACCAATTTGTTTGTTACATTCAACAAAATCTTTTACAGTCCATATTTTTTTCCATAAAGGGAAAAATTGTTGCATTGTTTCTTGAACTTGATGCACTTGCTGTTGCTGTCCTCAGAAAGAATCTTTCGGCGCCATACCCCCCTCTCGGCTGCTTCCTACTTGCCTTGCTCATGCGCACGTCACGCTGCTGATAGAACGGCGTAGCGGACCCCCCCCATACGTTCCTGTTTCATCATCAGCTGAGCTCCCTCTCCACTCACAGCTCGCTCCTGGGCCCTCCCCTTTGCGCTCATGCCTCTTTTTCTGCCCATTGCTTTCCTCCTCCTCTCTCCCTGGGTCCTGGCCACATGCGAAAAAGGGTAGACTAGGACGTTGCAGCTCTGAAAAAAGCGGGGAAAAACGCTCCTCTGCTATTTCTACTGGCAGGCCCTCCCCTTTAGCTGCTGTGCCAAAAGAGGGAGGGATTTTTACTACTTTGAGTCCCAGGATTTTAACCCTCTGCCTGCTCTTGTTTCTTCAAGATCTTCTTAATATCGTGCAACAAGTGGCTTGCGTTATTCCTGCTTCAATATTGTGGTGACATTTTTGGAAGATCTTTTGATTAGTTTTTGACCTTATCAAGGGTCAATTAAAGACGGTTCTTTCGTCTTTGCGATGTAACTGGTAGAGTTAAACTGAAGCAGTCAGAATTCTTTTTGTTGTTTGCCTGTGCATTTGCAGTGCGAATGCTTTTTGACCACGTGCTCCTCTGTTCTGCGCCATGATTTTTTTTCCGTAAGTGGAACTTTGCTCTGTGAATATGTCACAATTACGATATTTAGTCTTAAGCATGCTTATGTGACCACTTAAGTTATATCTGAATGTTTTTTACTTAAATGCGTATCACATTGAGATATGATTTGCCTCATTTCTCCTCTTCCCTTTGGGTCTCTGCCCCACCCTCACTTTTCCACTACCCTGTTCTCTCTCTACCTCCCTCCCTCTCTCTTTCTCTATCATGGTCAGTCTCTGGTGAAAGGGGAGCAGGAAGGCGTAATAGCGATGGGGCTTTTTCTTTCTGGGACAGGTGCCAATTTTAGATAAAAGACAGAAAAAACCAGGAAAAAGTCAATTGTAGCTTAAAAATTATATGCATGCAGATTTTTTAAAAATGCTGCTGGTGAGAAAGTGTATTTGTTGTATGTATAACGGTTTTCCCCTTGCAGGAGTGGTGCAGAGATCCTGAAAGCTGTCTCACTCTTTGCTCTCTTCCTCCCGTGAAGGCATTTGAGTTTGGAGCGGGGAGCAAAGGGAGGGGTGGCAGGAGGTAGGAATGGGCGGTGGAAGGAGGAGTTTAGTCTTCTCTGCCCCCGGTTGGCTCTTCTGCATTATTCATATGCCCGGGCCAGTGCTGCGATCTGACTGGATGTCTGGCCTAGCATTCAGCCGACATTCAGTGGCTGTGTTTGCTAACATTCCTCATTCAAAGCCTTGTTAACTGCCAGACGGGAGGAACACACGACTCCATGGGAAACCCACATGGCCTTCCCATTGTGGCAAGCTCTAGCAGTGTCCAGCACAGAGGAAGAGTAAGAGCAGCAGTTCTTTTGAAAGCAGTTAGCAGGACTTGTGCATGGTACAGGAGGCTAGGGAAACTCGGCTGAACTGCAAGTGGGAAATTTGACTGAAGGAAATCCAGACACCGGAGCAGACAGGCAAGGCGCTGAGACAGACGGGCTTGGGAGGCTGGCACTCTGAGTCTCTGAATGGGGCTCTGCTCACTGTGCCCGCCTACTCCTTGCAGGGTGTGCAGAGCTGTGTGACTGAATCCAAGCTCTTTCTCTCCCCCTCCACATAGAATTTCTGGACAAACTGCTCCAAAGAGATCCCGGACAAAAAGCCAAGGCAGAGATTTCATCCCATAACCTGGACATACTGGTGCCCCTGCGTGTGACGGGTCGTCCTAAAGTCTATGGAGGTAAGTCAAAGATGTATGGGTGTGGAATGGAGGGACTCGACGAGTTCCATACTTTAAATGTCAATATATTCTAAAGTTAAAAGATTATATTGCACTTGTGATCGTCTTTTAACTGTGTTTTTATGCTAATGGACTAGCCACAGACAAGAGCATTAACTATGAGGCAAGATCAGATTGAAACGTGGCACTGCGTTCAAGTCCAAACAAACTCCACTCATCTCTCTCCTTGTGTATCTATAGCTGGAGTTTTGGTTTTATCTTTAATGGTCATTCTATGTGGAAAAGAGCTTAGAATAGATCGGGGTAAGTCTTGAGCTCTACACTTGGGCTGAGGGCCAGACAAGGCCTGTATGAGGCCGAGCCCCTCCACGACACATTGCCTTTCTCTCTCTTTTTGCTTCTCATTAATACAAGCTTTTTTCTTGCAATAAACAATTGAATAAGTGAAAATTTTATCAAAATATGTTTAATTACAAACAGTATTTCCTATGCAATACAAATACACGATGCGCAATATTTGTTTTTACTTGTTTTTGAACAAACACATTAGTTGTGATTTAGGGGAACAACAACATACATTTCTCAGCCACTTAAATAAATGTTCACAAAGTTTGAGCTCAATGAATATCTTTTTAAAAACATTTTATTATAGAAGAGCAACTTTCTACAAATTACAATTAGCGCTCCCGTTAGTCAGTTTGTTGAAATTTATTGGATGATGCTTTCTGTCATACTAATGGCTCATAACCATAGTTCTTTGCTGGTGTTCGTTTCTATGTCTATGAGGACACCCTGAGCTCGTCAGTATTGACTTTGGCCAATAGGTAGGCGTGGAAGCAACGTGATTCATCAGTGATAGCTACAGACGTTCCTCCTACGTCTTGCATTTTCAGGCCTGTTCAGCCGCCATTGGTGCAGCGCCGCCCTCATGCTTGTCTCCCACGCCATCGCAGTTCGAACCCCTCCGTGAGACCCCAGCCTTTGGAAGGGTGTTGATACGTCAGCATTTAAAAAGAGTTGCGTCACTGTCATAACACCAATCGGAGCACACTGCAGCAAAATAATCAACTTTTTACAATTTATTAAAAATCGACAATTGCTCGTGTGAAATAAAGCTATATATATAGACATAATCCTTGAAGTACTTAAGATTTGTGGATTTAAAAGCACCAGACTATGGTTTAACATGACCAGAGGCAAAACAATTACCCTGACACATTTGATTCTATGTACCCCATAACGAACCCCGGTGTAAGAAGAATGGAGTTCCCACGCCTCCACCAAGGAGCGTAGGGCAAAGCCTCCTCTGAGCGCACTGTGTTCACACACTCCAGATGGACAGAGACCCACTCACCAACTCACAGGTGCACTATTCCAATACAACCGCACAGTTACCAAAACCGTCGGCTTGAAGATGCATGGTACAGCGTTGGATTATAGTAATAAACAATGGAATGCTTTAAAACATTCACATAATGATTAGACAACGGCCATCAAGACTTTATCTTTATAGTTTTTATTCAGTTTTGATTGGTTATGCACTTTTCTGCAGCTCTATTTGTTAAGATAGTTTATATGTTGTTATATTTATGGGCTGTGTGTAGATAAGCATTAATTTCAAATAGAGAAATATTTAAGGGAAAAAACATGTATTTTTATTTTATTGTTTTTTGTTGCACACACACACGCGCACACACACACACACACACACATATATATGTATATATATATATATATATGTGTATATGTATATGTATATATATATATATATATATATATATATATATATATATATATATATATATATATATATATATATATATATGTATGTATATATGTATATGTATATGTATATATATATATATATATATATATATATATATATATATATATATGTATATGTATATATATATATATATATATATATATATATATATATATATATGTATATGTATATATATGTATATATATATATATATAATATAATTTTCCCAACTGGAAATAATATAAAATAAAACATACATGTGATGATATCTATTTTTTATGACTGTGTAAAAACATAAAATCATTTAAAGTTATTGTTTCTTTAATGAATAAAAAAGAAAAAAAAAACCTTAGTAAATGTATACAACGTTAGCGTGACTTTGAATCAGATACACTTGAGATGGACCCAAATATTTTCCAGTGTACATGGCCTTTAGATTGGCCGAACACCATCTGACCCGATGCTGTTGGACTGTTGGTGTATGGTAATGTAGTTATATCTAAATGTGGAGTGCGATCACTTTCACATCTGCTCTCTGGACCTTAATGATACACTCTGAGGCTGTTTGGCACGTTTATGACCTGTGGGCTGCTGGACTCTAGCCTGCGGGTCGTGGCACTCTCACTAGTGTGTGTGTGTGTGTGTGTGTGTGTGTGTGTGTTCATAGAGTCGCCTATAGAGTCTTGTCTAAATTAGTTTTTTCTTTTTCATTTTCAGGAAACTTCAATATTTTCTGACTGTATGTCACGGTAAGCACACCTTTTATTTACAATATAAAGATATGTAATATTTCACTTTTTTACTCATGTTATAATTTCATATCATACAGTCACAAAGAAACTTACCTATCTCTGTGTAGATTTAAGAAATAAATCTACACAGATCTGCTCATGCACGCACGTACCCATACGTACACACACATTAGTTGTGACTCCAGATATGTCCCATCCAAACTCAACTCGGACCAAAATGTTACTTCATAAATCTGAGAGTTTCTACCATAGCCGCACAGATAAAATTCTCAAGGTAAATTAGCAGAGGAAAGGCAAAGCAAAGCCATGAGCCTAAAGGTCAAATGAAGATTAGAGCGAAACTGTACACGACGACTCACCGGCTGGCACCCGGAACAGCACAAAGCCCTCATTGTCCCGCTGGTCTCCGCATGAGCTGTGCACCGATGACTCCTGCTGGTGTTTTTGGGAAACTGCAGCCAACTGTTCTGCACAAGAAGAGAGACAAAGATAAAAAGGCATTTAAGTAACACTGGGTATCTCTCTGAAGGTGGGACTGGAGCATGACCTGTATGATTTCACAACTGTGGAATATTTTAGCAAAAGAAAGCTCAAGTCTTGTTATGTTAATTTGCTCACAGTGATGTGATAAGGATGTTTGTATTCTTTCTGCAGAGCACCAACATCAGTGAAGCTTTATGCAGACTTATACAACTCACTAAAGTGTTCTTTTGACTTCAGGTCAAAAGTCTTGTAAATCCACATGTGATGGGCATATTGATTCATAATATGAATATATGCATACTGACTGAAGGATCTCAAATAAAAAAGTTTAATACAAAATCATAAATTATATAAAAGTATAGATCTTTTTATAAGCATTCAAAATGATTTCAGTTCTGATAAAATAATCAGATGCTACATCTCAGGGAAATCCAGCATTAGTAGATGCTTATTGTTCCACTTGAATAAATTAAAATTATTTTTGTATAGCCCTAAATCACAAAAGCAGTCCTCTCGGAGGACTTTGAAGTTGCCTATTTTCCAACACAGATCAGAGAATCAAAGAACAGTTCAAACACAGGGGGACTGTGGAGGAATTACTCAAAAATCCAGTGGGAAAAAAATTGAGAGCGGGATCCGCTTCCACGGATGAAGCTGTAAACCCAGGACTCTAGAACTGTAGAACTCTAGGCTGTAGGAGTGGGAGAGGGGTTCAGCCTACAAGTCCGTGGCCGGGAGAGACAGTCCACAGGTGCAGATGAAACAGACCGGATTCAGAGGTCCCATCATCACATCATTAAACAGACAACGGCACAGCGGGTGAACAGCAACAAACGGCCTACACTGTTAAAAAGTGTTGCTTTAATCAAAATAAAAAATCATCGATGTTCCATCGGCCTTTTTGGGTACTGTCAACTTGAGCTCTTTATTAAGTAATACAAAATATGAAATTAATGCCAAACTATTACTATTACTAAGTAATTGATTTTCTTAATTTCTCTGTCCTTTCAAAGCTAAAATATAACTTAAAGGTACGTGTAGTTCTTACAATTGCTTCAAATAATAATAATAATAATAATAATAATGCATTGGCTTTACATAATAATAATAATAATAATAATAATCTTTATTTATATAGCACTTTTAAAAACAGTGTTTACAAAGCGCTGCACAGTCAGCATGATAAACAATAAAAACAGTCATAATGCAAGGTCAAAATAATTAGATACAGAAACACAAAGCAAACAGAGCAAAACACAAAAGAGACTCAACAAAGACAAAGCAGACAATAAAATACAGCATCGGAAGTTTAAAACTAACAGTTAAAAGCTGTTTGATAAAAGTGGGTTTTAAGAAGAGATTTAAAAGAGGATACTGATAGTGCGAGCCTTATCTCCTCGGGCAGGTCGTTCCAAAGCCGAGGAACCCGGACAGAGAAGGCTCGGTCACCTTTCGTCCGGAGCCTCGACCTTGCCTCGACATAGCGCTTTTTCGGACACTCAAAGACGCTTTACATGTCATTATTCTTTCACTCCAAACACAGTGGTGATAAACTACTACTGTAGCCACAGCTGCCCTGGGGCACACTGACAGAAGCGAGGCAACCAGTATGTGCCATCGGCCTCTCCGACCACCACCAACCATTCACACACACACCAGACTCATACTAGGCAATGGGGTGAAGTGTGTTGCCTAAGTACACAGTTTGGCACTTTACAGCCGCAGCTGCCCTACTGTGGCTGGTGTTCCCAGAGGTTAAGTGTCTTGCCAAGGACACAACGACAGCAGACAGTGGGAGTCAGTGGTGGGCTCGAACCCCCGTCCTTCAGGCTCAAAGGCCAATGCTCTACCAACTGAGCTATTGTCGCCCTGTACAAATAAAAAACATGTTAATCAATAACAAAAATAGTTGTTACCTCCACCAGGTTTTTTATATTTGTTGTCATAGACTTAGAATTTGAATTATAAATGTCCATGAGAGCTGACATGTAAATGGTCCATCTTGAAATACATTGGTTGATAAGGGACCAAAAGGATGCGAGAATCACGTTTTCGTTTCTACTGCTACTGATATCGTTACTTCCACTGTGCCCTTACAAGTTTGAAGAAGGAACCATGGAGAACCACAGTTATGTAAAAGAACAACCTGAACAACAATCTTTTAGAAAAAAATAATAATGCAAAAATCTAGAAACTTGCGTCATAGCAGCAACATCGCAAACCACACGCACCAAAAGGCAGAGTTAAAACAACAGGAGGCCCATTGTTTAGTTTGTACACAACTAACTCACACGTGAACAATACGTAACTTTCTTCACACCAACAGTGATGAGAATGAGGTAGAAACTGAAACAGTCTCAGGATGTTCTGACCCGATCCGAGTCCAACTACTATGTTACAAGTTTAAACTAAACTTATTGAGGGACAAGCCTCAAATATGCAAAACACACAAAATCCTTACAAAACAATCGCCAAATATCAACAGCATGAGTTTGAATGTTGTGTTTTATTACCTAGATGGTATGCGCCGCCTGGTGAAAGCTAATAATCTGAGCTTTTAGCCGTAGTTCTTTCGCGGCTGTGTCCATGTCCAAGGCAATGTCCTCCTGCTTCGCAATGTCCTCCTGCTTCTCGGATCATTGTGGTTTTGAACTCCCACAGATTTCCCATTCCTCCAGACGTCTCTTCTCTTCTCACTGAGTTCTGTGCAGTGCATGCCGCTTCACAACGCAGACTTTGTTGTGCGTGAGGCAGATTTGTGGCGCGGTAGTAAATGGAGAGATCAGGGTCATTTATCAAACTAAAGGATTCTTTCCTTAGTGGTCCATTGAATTACCGGGTGTTGGGGACCACTGTTCAACACGACATACCTCGGAGGCTTCTGTAGTGTTGGTGGTAGAAGGAGACTCAATAGATGGGAGTAAAAACTACACAGTGTACCTTTAAAGGTGATCAATTTACTTCCCACATTTTTGAAAAGAACCGCCCTCTCCACTTATATATCAAAACTCTCTGGTCTTATTTGACGAGCTTGTACCGCCAGAATGATTGACAATTGGAAGGACCAATAGTTTTCATGATCCACCCGGAAAAAAATCCTCCTAAATACCTTTAGTATTTTAGTGTTCATTCAAAACAAAACTAACTTCCACTCGGAAAAGAGTTACCAGACACACACGCAAACTCCTCTCAGAAAAGTCCTGTACCTTTCATGCTGAGAAGCAAGAGTGCTAACCACTCAGCCAGTGCTTTATTTAAAGTACAGCGTGTAAGCACATTGACCCTTGCTAGGTATTTTTACATCTAAGGTAGATGTCTCACGTAGTTTTAATAGGCCTACTTTAGCTTGACCCTGACTATTACAGTTGGTAAAAATAAATAAACAGATGTATTTTACAGGACTTGCTTCATATTCACTCTCAAAATTAACGCTCAAATGTAGATTTTTTCAAAAGGATTATTTATATTTTGCTTTGCAATGCACTCTGGGTAGCGTTGCCCAATACATTTTATTTTTCATCAACACATTATATTTTTTGTCATTAATGGTATTTAAGTATTTTCATTTAAGCAATAAAATCAGTGTTGTATAGGGTTCTATGATAATTAGTTATACAGTATTTATTTGTCAACCAAAAATATAAAAAATGAAAAATGTATATATAAGTATATAGTAAATGTTTTACATCAAAATCTGGTCCGCTGCACTTTTCACAGTGTACAGCTGGAGTCATAATGATGACAGATAAAGTAGGAAGTGGAGAGGATCAGCAAAGTGTCTCCATATTCAGCTTGACTGACAATGTGGCTTTTTAGTTGTATTTCTAATTTTTACCTGAGTCTTACTTATCTATCCATATGTTGAATTAAAGAGGACTGTTTTAAGCCTATTTAAGTTGTCACTATTAGTATGAGATACATGATTCGTGTCATGCATTACTTGGTGTCGGATCAAAAGTCATCACAATACTCAGACATGAGTTTGGCAGAAGGCTTTTGGCTGCAGAGCAGATCAGCAGACTTGCAACCGCAGTCACCATTTTGTTTTCATATCACGAGTTGTTTAAACTTTCCGCAAAAGCTGACAATAACATATAAATTCTATATTGGCACAGAAAAAACATGGATTTTAGACTTAGTGTTGATTTTTCCAAGCAGCAAAGAGAGATCAATTCGAATTAGTGAATTAGTTTTATTTCAAAGCTACAGAACATAATTTCACTTTCAATTTGCGTTGCGACCTGCTTCCAAATCTTAACACTATTTGCATTGAATGTTCTGATAGGTAAGTCAATCTATTTATACTAATAACATTAGTATATAGTATATAGCGGCACGCTAATTAGTATTAGCGGCACGGTGGCTGAGTGGATAGCACTCTTGCCTCTCAGCAAGAAGGTCCTGGGTTGGAATCCCGGTTGGACCAGGGCCTTTCTGAGTGGAGTTTGCATGTTCTCCCCGTGTCTGCGTAGGTTTCCTCCGGGTGCTCCGGTTTCCCCTACCACTAAAAATATGTACAATAGGTCTGGCATGTGCCTCCTGTTCTGGCACCCCCACTCCCAAAAATCACAATTGTAAACCGCTTTGAGACTCCGATGTACAGTGAAAAGGCGGTATATAAATAAAGATTACATTACATTACATTATATTAAATCCTAAATTGTGATTCTATTCACTTTTACTCCTTATTCAGTATCTCCTGAAGTCTCTATAGAACTTGAGCCGTTTTGTGCCGTCCACGCAAGTGTACATCAGCAGTTGTGACTCCAGAATTCTACTTATTGTTAAGACGTACTGTATGAGCAATGCATGAAATAGAAATTCAGGCTGATATTTAATCACAAATCTTGACTTTTTTGAGTTTTGAAATATTCACTCTACCCTCACAAAAAACAAAAACAAAGATAAGATGAAATTTGTTGATCTCACAATGGACAAATTTTACAAATGCTCCTATATCAAACTCCGTACCCTACAATGAATCCTTTGAATATGACGCCATAAACAGAGAGGTACTGTGTCTACCATTTTAGTTCAAATCATTTTCCATTAGTTGAGGGCTATAGTCGAATGTGTGTTTCAATTGCTAAACTACACAAACTAAATCATGATAAGCCAAAAAAAAATTCCGGCCAAAACAAACACAAATGATACTTCTTCTGTTCTTTAAATTGTGGTGGTGGTGTAGCGCTTAAGCAGACCGGGGGCTTTACCTTATGCTCCTGGACTTTAAGTAGAGATTTGTGTGGCATTTATGGGATAACCAGAGTGTAATAAAAACAACCACAAAGCAGTATATGCGTGTGTCGAGGGCCTATAGTCGAGTGTGTGTGATGAGTGAAGGCAGTTTTATGGATGGACCCCACCTGCCCTCCCATGTCTCCTTTTAAGCGGAGCAGCCTGGAGCCAAACCACAGCAGCCACAGCAGCCCATGTACAGGCCTGTCACCGTATGATGTGAGGAGGGAAATACTGCTACGGAAAATATTGCGATATCAATGACACAATAGACTAATTAATGGGAACACATTAATAATAGTGAAAGTGTGATTACGACATTTTTCAGTTTGGAGTCGATTAATCAAGGTTTTTACCTCGACCAAGTCTTTTCAACAAAAACTAACTGCTCTATACAGGATGAGACATATGATTTTAAAAGTCAAGAAGCACTGTAGTTACATAACAGTAATTAAGTTGTTTTTAAGTTAAAACAAATAGTTAGGTTAAAAGGATAGTAGCTTGATATATCGATTATCAACATATTTTTATTTACAGCCCAATTTTAAGTTATAAATGAAAACACAATTCTTATTAAATGTGACTATAACACTACTGCGATAAAGATGAGTCTATACTGTTTTCTGTTGAAAAAGGTCCCAGTGACAATATCCTGCTATAGTCCAGTTCCAGTTATTTTAATCTATTTTTTGTGTCATTTATTCAGTCATTTACACGTCTTAAACCTGTGACACATTTCTTTAACATCACCATCTGCAAACATGGAGTATTTGTGTTGGAACTGCATGTATAAAATGTGTGTTTACGTGAGACAAAAATTTGACCGTTTAACCCGTGCCATAACCGCTGCAACAAACAGGAAGTGAATGGATATAGCTCCCAGTAAATAAAACCCTGGATACATGCTGCTCATTTAAAGCTGGAGCTCCTGACTTTTGTTGTTGTTTAATAAATACATTGTGTTTGTCCCAACAGAAAGACTCTAGTTTAAGTAACATTTTGTGAATAAATCTGACCACATCATGGTTTTATCTAAATAGAAAGTATTTGATGGTTTACATAATTGGAGATGAATGAGTGAGAGCTGGTATTTTCACTGATAAAGTTTATGTGGACAGAGGCCAAAAACAAATGCAAAATGTAAAAACTAGTGAAAGACTGTTTTGAGAGCGAGGGAATAGTTTATATGGATTTTATTACATACATTATTTTTTGTGTTACTCCAGCATTACACTTTCTTTTAGTTTTGTATTTTGTTTGCACAAGTGGTTGCTAATAAATTGTAACTTCGTGAATTTCATATTTAAAGTAATTATTTCAATGTATTCAAATGTGTTTTTTCATGACGATTGAAGTAGTCAAGCTTTTCAGATAAATAAACATTTACAATGCAACATGAATACAATTTACATTATAAATGGTTATATAATGTTTCCTTATAAGAAGTGTATGAGGTTAACAGAATTCCAGTGTGAATAAACAGTTTGTATTCAGCTTTGCGTCTGCACAGACCTCACTGCTGTCTGCAACTGGAGCGCCACCTGCTGGAGGCCATCTGTCCTTTGAGTTGAGGTAGTAGGTTGTATAGTTTTAGTTCCCAATATTTAAGATGACTATACAACTTACTGTCTTTCCTCAAATGATTAGAAAAGCATCACCAACAACTCCTCCCTGTGAACTTCTTTCTCTATTATTTCATCCTCTATAAAACCAGTCTGGACACTGTAAATATTGTTAATTATTTCCTGGATGAAATGTCTTGTTATTTCCTGTTTTATTTGAAAATGATTTTACAGATATAATTGCTTAGCGTGTTATTAATTTTCTTGAACTTGTGATATCTTGCATTTATTTTTTTTATGGTTTCCAAAGTACCAAAACATGGATATTGATTTATAGAACTAGTTAAAAAAAAAGAAAAAAAAGTAAATGTCAGTCCGAAAACAATGTCAAGACGAAATTGCACCTGAGAACTTGTGGTGGTAATTGGTTATTGAATATCAAGACCTCATAGTATCGGGATTGGAATAGTGTCATGACAACACTAATCCAAGTGCGGATCGCTCCTGTGTAACTTTGCATTAACCATTTGTCCTCTCTGTCTCGTGAACAGCTGTGGAACGAGGGTGTCACTGCTCTGTCCCGGGTCTCTGCACTGACCCGGGTGACTTATGATGTTCGCACAGGGTGAGGTAGTAGGTTGTGTGGTTTCAGGGTTGTGATTTTGCCCCATTAGGAGATAACTATACAACCTACTGCCTTCCCTGGAGGGCAGCAATACATCACAGGATCTCAACTCACACGTCCAAGTCAAGAGGGAAAAGAGAAAAAAAGACTAATAACAAAGAGATAGATTGGATTTAATGTCTTTCATGTGTTCATGCTGCTGCTGCTGCTTGTCTGCATAGCAACAGTCACAGCAGTACCAGTAGTTTGGAATCGGTTATTTAGAGTTGATGTGAATAACTGGAATTTGTAATGTGTATGTTGTTGTTTACCTGTTTAAATAAATAAATATTAAAACTATTTTAAAAAGTAAATTATTTTGTGTTTTCAAGCCTTGGCGCTGGTTGGATTAACCAGATATATATTTCTAAATAACAGCTGTTTTTATAAGTCAAGTTATAATACACAGAATTGTATAACATTGTAGGCCCACATAGGCTTGCAAAAGTACTCTTGCACATGCTGTAATGTTAACGGCCGCAAGCATTTGTTTGGAAAGACAGCTGTGAAGTGAAAGCATTAGGATTCATGTTTTAGAGTTTTAATAAAAAACTGAACATGTATGAATACTTGTAATGGACATGCATTCATATTTCAGTATTTATCTGCATGCATTGCATTGTCTACTGATTCACTTCTTACCTGATTTAAATACTATTTAAAAGCCATTAGATAGAGGCGACATGTGTGTAATCTCCACTTAGTATAGTTGTAGCTGTTTTCTGAGAGCCTCAGAGTCATAGTGAAAGTGAATTGTTTATTAAACAATGTGAGATTTCATAACACTTTGAAGCACTTTTGTTAGAGTTAAACTCATCATTCTATCAATGTGCAGAAGCCAGTACTTTTCCCTTGTTTTGTCTATCTGAAGGCCAAGCTACAAGCACACTGTGGCAGCTGCTGATTGGAGGTCTCCATGCCTCCGCTCTGTATAATACACTTGCATTCTGTTGTTCGTGTTGTTCGTGCTGTCTCTACCATCGACAATAACTTTGTCATCTTCTTCAACAGCATCTTGAAGTCCAAGGAGCACACCAGAGAAGTCAGGGATAAAGTTCTGGAGAATTTCAAAGCTTTGTAAAGTTATACAAAGATCGAAGTGATAGAAATGGAAAGAGAAAGGCACCACTGCAAACTTACAAAGACACAACTGTCCACCTCAACTAACAAGCCCAACAAGGAGAGGAGTGGACAGGAATGCAACTATACATCCCAGGATGACTCTGGAGGAGCTCCAAACTTGTGTCCTACTGAACATAAATCTGGCTGATATAGACAAAAGAAGAAGCCAGTGTTGAAAGAAAGAATACCCAGAGTTGGCCTGATATCACATGGGGACACATTCAACATACAGATCAAGGTGCTGTGGTCAGATGAAACCAAAATGTCACTTTTAAGAGTAAAAAAAACATTTAACATTTTGTTTTCACTTCACAGCACTCTGCACATAATGAAACACCACAACAAAGTAACAAAGTTTCAGTTGTATTCATACTTCTGCGAACTATGGTACACACTCGCAGGGAGACAGTAGAGGGCGACACACACCAGACCATGCACCACTTCGGTCGACGAGAGGTCAGAGCTTATAAATGCATTCATTCCAGAACAGAATAACCTATAGCAACTGAATGCGTCTTACAAAGAACACATTTGTCTAACGTAATTATGAACTTGATGCATTTTACTTAAACTGTCCTATTTCTCCCCCGTGTCTGTAATAGTGAGGATCTATTATAGAACAGAGGGATTGAACTGGACTTATATCAAGCCAGTCTATGCAGTCCTACCAAACTCCGTGTAAACGCCTGCAATACAGCATGTACAGCATTTGATCCTTTCACTTGTTCAGCCAGTACAATGACGCACGCTCGGGGATCCAGCGCGTTCACGCACGGGTCAGACTGCGCGGTCCACCCACCGTTCATCACCGAGACCCCCGTGATGTCTCGGTGTGCCAAGAGTTCTGTCCTATCCCATTGGTTTGTGCCATAGGTGTGTCGGATCATTGGGGGAGGTCTCTGCGCTCACTGACGCTACTTCCTGCTGCTAGTTGGAAGTTTTTTTTTTTGTTTTTTTTTTTTTACGTGGGTGGCGACGCGTCAGACTTTTCACCATTGAGGAGTTTTTTTCTTCCTGTCAAAGCGTCCCGAGACATAACCCTGACCCACGCGCACGAGGCAAGCAAACCGGCTCTATCACTATCTCTGAACATGTTTGGGATAGTGCACCCAAATGTAAGATACTATTTCTTTATGATCACTTTCTTATGTGTAAAGCTTATTGCACCCATAACGTGTGCAACGTATCCATTTCTGATGATTTGGTGAAGCTGGTTTTGCAATTATTTTATGCAAAGAGCATTACTATTGTGGGGTAGTTGCGGCGCATGGAAAGTTGTTCTCTGTGTTTGTTAAGCTCACTGATAGTCAGTAGTTACAAGAAGCTACTTACAAGTAGTAACTGTTTTTATCTCAACTTGAAACAGCTGAGAGTTGTGTTTAAAAGTCATAACAACAGTGACCTTGGAGCAGGTTCTTGAAGCACACTCAGTCAGATGGAAAAACAAATAAGGCATTTCTGAGACTTGCACTGGTCATAAATCTCCTTTTAATAGTTTAGTGGACATGTAGTGTGTATGCTCCCCCAGCTTCCCCTTCCCATCCCAAGATAGACACTTCTCTGTCTGGAATAATGACTCTACAGGGAACCCAGTACAATGTCCTTTGAGGGTGGAGAAAGGAAGGACAGGGCATTCCTTCTTCAGACTGCTTCACTAAACTGTGAAGGAAATGGGTCTATATGTAAACCACATTGTGATGGGTGTTTTTGGATAAGGGAAGACTGATTAGCCTGGGATCTAAAAGTCCCCAGACATAAGGTTTACAAGTACACACATTATTTGGCTTTATATGATCCAAATTCAATGGTCTTGAGTGATGGCTGTGCTAAATATTTTAATATTTTAAATAGAGGTTTTAAAGCTGGGGTGTCTAACTTTTTGTGTTATGAATATGTTTTGTTTGTCAGAGCAGAAAGAGTCTTAAGTTATATTTTGTAAACAAATCAGGCTACGCAACATGCTGTTATCCTAATATTCAAAAACATTTTGTTTTGCATACTGGAGAGGGCTGCTACCCTCTTTTTCAGTGGAAAAGCTGATCTAAGGCTGTGACAGAGGCCAAAAATTGTTACATGCATTTTAATATAGTTTATTTATAGTTGTTTCAAAGTTGCTTTGAACGCACAATTCAAAGCAACTTTAAGAGTATCTCATACTCTTTTAGTGAAATCCAGTGAGTTTAATTTTCACCTTAACTTTACTCTACATATCAGCTCAGTCTGGCTGCACTGTTTTCAGTTATATACATTGGTAACTAAGGCTTAACTGTAATTGTAAGTACCCTTGATGAGCCAGTAGGACTACAGTCTAGAACATAATAGTTCCACATCAAATACATAACCTTAACCCATCATAACCAACACAAACTAATTTATTAATATGCTTTTGTCTATAAATATAGTCCAACAAGACTCTACACTTCAGCTTAATCTGGGTACAATTTCATCACAAGCCCTTTTGCAGTCTAAACCACTATGGCTGTGTTATGAATTGTTACAGCAGTAAAACCCTCAATCTTATCTATGTAAAATTAAATTGTAAACTCATATTGACAAGCAAATAACTTGTAATAGTCGACAAAACTGCATTTATTATTTTAACTAGTAAACTGATCAACAGGGCTTGTTTATATCGAAACGTTTGCAGCTGTCTTTGTCTATCAGCATGCGATTTAGTTTACAGTAATTTCATTGTCACCTTTGCAGTCCTATAAAGAACCAATCAACAAATCGACACAAAATCAAGTATTCAACATACACATACAAACAAACACATACATGTATTAGAGTAGACATGTACTTTCAGTCTCCCCATGACAGACAGGCTGTTTCCCCCAAGGACACAGTGGCAATATAAACTCAGAGTCACATCTCCATCTTGCTTATTGCATTGTGGTGCAATAACAAATACTGTATAAAAGTATTGAACTGCCATCATTCAAAACCAGACTTGACATAGTTCACTACGGCCCTCTCATAATCTCTGAACCCTGAATCTAACCACGTACAGTACATTCTACACTATTTCACTCATGTCTTCTCTCTACATTTTGATAAGGTAATCAAAAAGAGGATCTTATTTCTTTCCTCTTCCCATCTGTGGCTCAGAAATGCATTCTTAATCCTGGGGGCTGTAACTTGACACACTTGACACAACCGTTAACAGTGAACAGATGTTGGTCTTGTCCCATACATGCCTTTATGTGAAAACAACATCTCTTCTAGTCTCAAGCATTATTCCTGCCTAACTAATGTCTGGCGTCTAGTCAAGAACCTCCCCCTATAAGAAAACAAGGATGAGACCGTGGACATTTTGGGCTTCCAGGCGGACAAGTTTACGTCCATTCTTTCAAATAGTATGTTTGATGTTGTTTTTGTGACAGAAAAATATATGGAAAATTTGGATTTAGGGTTTATTAAACCCGCTATAAGACTTACAAGACTCTTGCAATAGTGTTTTTATTTTGTGTTGGTAGAAAAATAGTAGTGTATTGTACTAGAAACACATTGTGAATTAAAAACAGACCACTGTATCTCCTATTAGTGGATGGACAAGAATCATGGCCAGATTTGATGGTTTGCAATTCGCTATTCATTCTGACAAAATACTATTATTATCACAACTCTAACACTATTTCAAATATTGCCATTTTATCATTTGATTTATCATGCTCCATTATTAAAAGGACATTTTAATGTTTTATGCATTAGCAATTAGGGAAACACAAAAATGCTACTGCATAGATTAAACCAAATACTCAGAATAGTTTATCAGCACATTCATTCTGTAATCCACACAGATGCACATTGAGCCTTAATGTATGCTGGGGATAGATCTAAAACCAGATGTGATGTCACCATTAAAGAAATATAAGCTGTTATTTAGTTTGGTCTGTCCTTAGGACCAGAACCCTCTCTCATTGTGGGCCACCTCGAGGTTTCTCACTGGGGTTTTGTTATTAGTTTTTCCTTGCAGGTGCAGGAGGGTCTGCACATTGATGATAATCAAGGATACTTGACATTCAACATTTATGGACATTGGTCATCGTTTGGTTTGATTCTTTGATCTGTGTTGGCGAATTCATCAGTTTTGTAAAGTCCTCCGAGATAACTGCTGTTACGATATGGGGCTTTAAGAGGGGTGCCAACAGTTAACAGTTCAATAGGAAGGTTATTATTGCAGCATGTAGTTATTTGTAACTGTAATCTGATTAAGAGTAATGAGCTACAGCCGTGGATGTATTGTATTACTAGCTACAAATCTGCATGCTCACACCAGTGACAGTGACAGTGACAGGGGGCCGGGCAAGTCTAGTGTAATGCAAATGAGCAGCATTATTTTCCCTCCCCTGAACTGTTGTTGTGTCCTTAGGCAAGACACTTCACCCCCATTGCCTAGAATGAGTCTGGTGTGTGTGTGAATGGTTGGTGGTGGTCGGAGGGGCCGATGGCACATACTGGTTGCCTCGCTTCTGTCAGTGTGCCCCAGGGCAGCTGTGGCTACAGTAGTAGTGTATCACCACCGTGTGTGGAGTGAAAGAATAATGACATGTAAAGTGTCTTTGAGTGTCCAAAAAGCGCAATATAAAACCTATGCATTATTCTTGTTCCCTCTTTTACCTCAGCCAGTCACAGATGTTCTATGTAAGACTTTGGAGTTTATTAGTACTTGTAGTACTATAGTGTTTTTTATAACATTGCTACAATTACTTTTTAAACCTTTTCTCTACCCATTAAGTTAAGCACTCTCACATGTAGCTGCTCCTCCAGCTCTAATACTGATGGAGTTTAGGCAGTGACCAAACAAGCTGGATTTTACCAAAGAAACTGGCAACCTAAAATAGAAATACAACAATTGCGCTTCCTATTTCCCATATTGACTCTCACCTACACACTTGTGTCCACTCTCCTCTGTTCATAGTTTGGTGATTGAGGGGTCATCGCTCACATGCTGGGGCCATGGCAGGGGACGTGTACAGCCCCCCATCCCCTCTTGGAGAGTCCCTCCTGGGCAGTCCTCTGTGTGGTGACCTGATGGAGGACCTGGCTGACATCTCTCAGTCCATCGAGGCCAACAGTCTGGGCTTTGACTTCCCGGAGTACCAGAGTCCAGAAAGTCTATCTGCACTCGGTAATTGATGTTTGCTTCAGTATGATGCAATGTTGGACTTTATTTGTTTGACTCTATGCAATACTATAAGTCTATTTTAGTATGGTCAAAGTACAGATTGACTTTTTTCACTTTGACTGGTCAATGCTCAATTTAAAAAGCATTTTCCTTTGTTAATGTTTGTATGAATTATTACTAATTACGTTTTAGGTTCATTGTTTAGAGTAAAACAGCACTCAGTTCAAATCTCTTTCTCTGTCTAGCCAAACATTTACAGCCATGCAAAAATATTATGCCTTTAACTTTGGACCAAACTGGGACTATACCACTAAAATTGCACATGGCTCGTGCACTTCAGCTCCAGGGTTGATAAATATCCCCCGTGTGTCACTAATACCTTCATAGCAAATAGCATGATGAACTAAAGCCCACTTATGAACACTGTGTAGCAAGAAACAAAGCATTGACAATAAATACATTGTTCTAACATTGATAAATGTGTCTGCTGCAGAAACCCTGACCCCAGCGTCCAGCCCATCGTCTGCTGTGAGCGGGACTGTCCCGAGTCCAGAGGAGCCCACTGTGCCCCTGTCACTGGAGTGTCAAGTTTGTTCAGACAAAGCTTCAGGCTTTCACTATGGAGTCCACGCCTGTGAGGGCTGCAAGGTGAAGTGTGTGTGTGTGTGTGTGCGCATGGACTCACTGAATACCTTTTACGGCCCAACTGAAGTGGCTGAAATCTTGTTGCTAGATACACCACTCCAACACCAGCCATTTCCATACCTTCTAAATGTCCTGCGATTATACAGAGAATCGCAAAAGAAAAGTAATCGCCAATACTCAGTTATGGGAAATGTTTTTGTGACATCATAGTGGTACAATACAATACAATACAATACAATACAATACAATACAATACAATTTATTCTTGTATAGCCCTAGGTCACAACAGAAGTCATCTCAGAGGACTTAACAAAACCATTGAAATCACCAACACAGGTCAGAGAATCAACAGCCAAAACACATGGAGAATATAAAGCACACACAGAAGAAAATGTCCATACATGTTGTAGAATGCTAAAGTGTCCTGATCATCACCAATCCTTTCTGTTGGACTCTTAAAAAACCCAGTGGGAAAAAGTGAGAAACCTTGGGGAGAACTAGGGAAACCCACAGGGAGGGAGACCCATATGAGAAAGGGATCCGCTCCTCCGGACGGACAGGCTAATGAATGACAATGACATCATACAGTTACAGAGCAGACAGAAGGGGCGAAGTTACACATTCGTCATACAGGATTCAGTAGTTTGCTTTAAATACATATACATTTTCCTCTGAAACCTTAAAAAGAGTGGTAAGAAGTAAGACTTATGAACTCCCACCCCATCTACATACACATACATACACAACTGTTTATCCTCATTCTCGTCACAGTCAACATGTTTGTGTACTGTCAAGTCATGAAGATGTTATTTATATTATTATGATTAATGTATATATACCAGGCATGCTAGCGTGGCTGGATTTAAAAAACAACTGTAGGGCTGTTTTTGATGAGTCAACAGTATGGTATTATGGATAAAAACTAGATTTACACATTATGTCTTGTTTTTACATGAATTGCTCGTTGTCTAGTAGTCGTTCTGTTATATCCTGTTTTCAGTATTGTGGGTTTTAAAGGAACAATAGGTCTTCAGTTGTTGCAGAGGTGGAAGCGTACGCCGCAGAGGGACTTTCTAGAGGACACACAGACCTGAGCGGAGCCGACCCCCAGGCCAGTGGAAAGTTTGTCAAACATGCACAGGGTCATGTGAGGTCCTCTCATCACCTCTCCCCTCTTTGGCTCTGCTCCAAAACTATACACCACAGCACTCTTGCAATGACCAACCAAGCTATTTATAGAGCTGTGCAGACAAAAAAAAATCACCTTTTGAATCAATCCAGATACTGCTAATTGGCAGGCAATCCTCGGTCAAAGCATCGGGATGGCCAGGCTTTGGAGGAAGACATGTCACCGTTTACCCTATTGATCACAAAATCACACAAAATTAAAAAATATATAGATTTCAAATAATTATAAATACGCTAATTATATGTCATGTTTGTATCTTGTGTTTAAGAAGTCTAATGTTGCCTAATTCAAGCCTTTTTTTAAAAACTATAAGTATTTAAACCTTTATGGAGTTATTTAAGAAACTGAAACTTTGTAAGGACTGCTACAATTAATAAGACATATGAATACAAGAAAAATATAAGACATTTTTTGTAGGAAGTCCGGTCACTGTATCACGTGTAGCAATTCTTCTCATTTGTCACCTAATGGGTATCTGGTATATCTGGTATTTCTGGTAGTTTGATGGGATTGTCTCAAAGTGATTCCATTTTTCAAGAAATGCAAGTCCCTATTGCCACAGCACAGTTAGCATTGCATTCAGCCTTGAGCTCCATTGATTTGAATGTAATTTCAAGTTCTACTGGTCATTATTTCTTGATAATGGACCTCTCAAACGAAAAATGGCCGCTGCCCATGGTAACGCAATCTGTGCTTGTAATTCACGTGTGTCAGATCACTCCACAAGTAGTTCAGCCACTTTATCTGGGAACTATGGGAAGTATCCAGTCAGTACATATTTTCAGATGACTTCCTGCGTTCGTTACGTTATCCCTTACACTCCCCTGATTGAAAGTGCAGGCAGATGGGTGTGCACATGGTGATATTGCATCATGGAAAGATCTGTTGTGTGTGCGCATCGGCTGCACACCCCCGGTCAAGTAGAGCTGGAATGTGGGAGGAATGTGTATGTGACTGAGTGGGAGGCTTGACTTGGGGAGCAGCAGCAGCAGTAACAGCTATTGCACATTGGACATGCTAAAAAAGTTTGGATTCAGCAATCTTGGGTTTTTTGCCCATTTGACCAAATAAAGCTCATGTCCTCCCCCAGGAGAGAGAAAACTTGTTAAGTATTTGGTTATTTGAGAAATTTATAAACACGTCAACGTGGTATTGTGCGTCACATTACGTCTTCCTGCTGAGCCCGCTGTGACGTGAATTTTTGTACACGTCTCTCTACCTGCAGTCGCATACTTCCATATTCTACTCTCCTTTGCTTGTGTTAGACCTTTCATGTAAAATTTGTCACTCCAGGGCCGGAGGGATACCAGTTCAGACGCTCAAGTGTCAGACTTAATTTAGTGACCAGAACACACCAACATTCACCTGTATCCTGCTCCGGTCACTTTTGAAAAACTTTTCATTCTTTCATTCTCATCAATTCATTTGTCAGTGCTTAGGCTGTTTACTGTTTGTGCTCAGTTTTTATAATAGATCCATTGTCTAGATCCATGTGCTTAGCACCCGAGTTTAAACAGGAAGAGAAATGGAAACCTTGCTGAGGTTAGTATTGGCGTAACCAGCTGAACTGAGCGTTTTACTACGTCACATTTGGTCTGGCACGGAAAAAATAAACCCTTCTGACTGCGCTTTAGACCCCTGTGGCAACGATCCGGGCCACGTGGCGTAGTTCATTTGTGAAAACCAATGTGACCGTGCCCTTAGTCTTCAAAGAGGTCTGTACTGGAGCACATTTGATATAGCAGTCTAGATTGCGTTCCATTTACAGGGATCATAATGGGAGAAAGCAGCTCCTGTGATTTTCAGCTTCAATGGAGCATCTGAGGCTACCTACAGTTTTTTAGATTATAAGTCAGAAACCGAGCCGTAGAGTTTTTAATGATCTGAAGTCACTGGACTGATTTTAGGTGAAAGACCTGAAAACATGGCATTATACAAGTCTAATGTACATGTGACAATTACAAGTATTTCAGGATCCTGTTAGGGCTCATTCTCTACCCGTTGTCATAGAGTACACCCATTTGTAGAGTACATTTCATTTCCTATTGTTTTTTCTTCTCAAACAATGTCCTGAAGGCAACAAAACAATATGTTGACAAATCTGTCACAATGTACAATCCCTTTTTAAACCCAAATTGTGTGTCTGGTTTAAAATTGTTTTAAAATTCTACATTTACAAAATCATGAATCATCTACAGTTGAGGCTGTAGTCAGTAGGTTCTGAATCACAGCCCAAACATGTGCTGACATGAAACGTATTGATGTGGTGCTCCTGCTGTTTTTGTCAACTACAGCCTTTGTCCTTCCTCATTTAGTTAGACACGGATGTGAGCTCTGAGCGTCTCCGTGAGCCCAAAACCACACACTAACCTTAGGCTATGTTGCGTAATGATTACCCCACAGTTTATGTGTCACCAGCACGATAGTATCTGTTTTTGCATTTGTTTTAATGTCTTTAAATAACTATGATTCCACATATTCTAGTGAAGACCCAGAGTTTATGGGAAAGACTTTCGCTATTGTCTTTTAAAATCCAAAACAAACATGTGGGGTACAATCATGTTACCTGTTATGTTTTTCTCTTTTCCTTTGCTTCTCCAGAGCTGGATTAAATAAATGGACTCCACTAGGCAGGCTGTATGTTTTGGGCCCCCTCCATCAATGTTATACATGAACTGAAATCTGAAACTTACCAAAGTTACGAATAAAAGTTACTTCACCTTTTACTTAGCCTAGGTTACGGGTTTCTTGTTTGCATGCCAAAATAAGTCATTTGTCGTATATAACATTTTTTTTTATATCCATTATGTATACGCTATTACAAAGCTTAACATGTAAGTAGTAATCTTTATTTATATAGCGCCTTTCTCAGACCAGAGTCACAAAGCGCTTTACAGTTGGTTTTTTTGTGTCTATATTTGTTTCTCACTCCCCTCAGAGAGAGGAGTAAGGTCGCCAGTACAGGAGGTGCATGCCAGACCTATTGTACATGTTTTTAGTGATGGGGGAAAAGTACCCGGAGGAAACCTATGCAGACACGGGGAGAACATGCAAACTCAACTCAGAAAGGCCCTGTTCCGACCGGGTATCGAATCCAGGACCTTCTTCGGGCGGAACGGTGGCTGAGTGGATAGCACTTTCGCTTCTCAGTAAGAAGGTCCTGGAATCGAATCCTGGTTGGAACAAGGCCTTTCTGAGTGGAGTTTGCATGTTCTCCCTGTGTCTGCGCAGGTTTCCCCTACCACTAAAAACATGTACAATAGGTCTGGCATGTGCCTCCTGTACTGGCGACTCCGCTCCCATCTCTGTGTGGAGTGAGAGGACAAGTGCCCAAAAATAACAATTGTAAACCGCTTTGTGACTCTGGTCTGTGAAAGGCGGTATATACATAAAGATTACTTACTTACTTACTTCTTGTTGAGAAGTGAGAGTGTTATTCACTCAGCCACCGTGCTGGGAATGTCATTTAAGTTTTTACTTCAAGAATAAAATGAATGAATTTCTACACGGAAATTGTAGATAATGTTGTAGATATTTATTTCAGGAAAGGCTTGCGACCCACCAGTTGAGAACCACTGTACCAGAGATCCCTGTTGCTGTGTCACCAAAATAACATCTAACATGCGTTATAGACACTTGCTGGACTAAATAATAGTAACAAAACGTTATCTATTTAACACTTGATTACATGTAAAAATAAAAAAAAAATAAACAAATTCTTTCCCTATGCAAATTCATACTTGTATTGTATTTTTTATTGTGTATTACTTGCTTTTATAGTAATGGATTGAGGTGTTATTATATTCGGACACACTTCACTCCTGTGTTGATGGAGTTAGAACATCAGTTATGTTGATTACTGTGTAGGACAGATACAATAACACGTGTACTGACGATGATTGAAGATGCCAGAAGGTAACCTAACCGATCTGATGAGGTCCTACGTGCAGTAGAAGGAATCACAGACATGCTGCTGCCTGCTGGACTGGAATATCAGCGCCTTCCTGCTATTTTTACCTCTACTCCCCTCGCAGCCCTTCACTAACACGCTGTTTTGTCTGCATTTTATTTCTCAGGGCTTCTTCAGGAGGACCATCAGGCTGAAGCTGGAGTACGACAAGTGTGAACTCAACTGTAAAATCCAAAAGAAGAACCGCAACAAGTGCCAATACTGCAGGTTCAACAAATGCCTCTCAGTCGGCATGTCCCATAATGGTGAGACTAAAGCTCCCAGGGCTTTAAAATAGACATATAGTGCTCTGTGTGTCTTTTAAACCATGTTGTAATTAGGCTACTTTCTCAATTACCTTTTGCAAGTTGGTCACATTGATTTGATTATTTATTTGTTCATTTAGATTGGCGACATGCAGTGACAAAAACATAAAAAAACTATAGAGAACTTTTTTTACAAGAAACCATCCTTAGAATACCTACGTTACAGTACATACAGCATCATTGATAGGTTGCAGTGGAAATCGGTAGGTTTAAAAAAAAAGATAGATAGATTCATGTTTGAGTCATCTCTATTCTCCCTTATTTCATCACCGCTGATAAATTCCCATTATTCTTTAACTATTTAGTTTATGATTTTGCGGTTGTCAATCTGATGTCATGTTTAGAGTACAAAAGAACACCCGATTGTCCTTTTGGTTTCCATCTAGCCTGAAATAGTTTTCTGGTTTAGTTTCGACACCTGCTTATCTCCATGGAGACCTAAAACTCATGCATTGCACTTTGAGGCAGGAATGCAAATCTCTTCCCCACTTGGACTGAAACACTGGATTATATTATATCTTATTATTTCATCAAGCTCTTAGCACAGAAACTCATGGGAAAGACCATCTCATTCAAACGTACTATTCTACAAATCTAATGTTTAGTCGATTGATTGAATGTATTTCCATTTTGTTTAGCAGGCTTAAAAAAAGTATTTAATGCTAATTAATTTAATAATGTATTATCCATCCATTTTTGTTCTGGCCTATCTTTTAAAAGTAAAAAGAAGTGTTTGGGTTTTATCTTTTGCTTTCAGGTATGGTCCTGGTAGTGTAACATACATACTAAGTACAATTGGTGAAAAAAGAATATCATTCAAATGTTCATAATCCATTTTAAAAATAGTTTACTTCTCTGCAATGTTTTATTTGGGGGTTTTACAATATCTGCGCCATAATTGAGAATAGAAACTTGATATATCTCACTTTTCATGTAAGGAGTCTGTTATATATTAGTTCCACATTTTAAGATGAATCACAGAAGTGAATGGACTTTGGAACAATATTCTAAATTCTAGTTTCACTTAAAATCTTTATAAATAAGGCGCCCAGATTATAGGGCTCATTAATTAAAGGTGCAGTAAAGGATTCAGGTTATCTTAGCATTAGCATCCGAGTAGCACCAACTCAAAACCACTCCCCCTCTCCCCCTGTCCTCCATCAAACCCAACTCCCAGCACACATGAACGCTGTTTCTGTAATAACGCAGTAACGGAGCCTCCCAGCTTGAAATGTGAAAGCATTACACTACATTAGGGCTCAAGTTTAGCAATTAGCAAAACTCGACCGCCGTTGAATTACATATCCCTGTCTTCTGGTACAACCAAGCCCCAGCGATCCAAGATGGCGCCCTATTCAAATGAATGGTTGTGCTCAGTGGCGCTTTGTGACGGCATGGGGGCTGAAAGATTAGCGGAAGTCGCCTGGAACTCGCAAAGATCTATGGGAAACTCGCCTGTATTTGGGCATCGTCTGGTCCTCCCGGTTCTGCGCAGTGGATGATCTCCCATAATGCGTTGCGCCAAACACGCGTGTGTGGGTCTCACACCGGGTCTCACGCACGTGCACAGAGGGGCTCGGCCGCGCTCTGACCAATCAGAGCAGTTCATCAGAGCGGGAGCACTAAAGTGTGGATTTAAACAAAACCGAAGGATTTAAGAAGAAAAAAAGTTCAGGATGACAAGGGACACTAAAATCCCCACAAAATCCGATCTTTATTAAAGCTGTAGGTTCTCTGTCAGCTGAGGTCGAGATTTACATTGAGTTCTATGGGGAAAATTTCTGAGTAGCCCACGTGAATTTAGTCTGGTTCAGTCTGCAGTACCGCGAGAATCCCCCGAGCACATGAGTTATTCAGCTACAAGCTAGTAATACCCTATCCAGTTAATATAATAGATCCATGGGTACAACGCCTTTTCTACATCAGCCGTTGTCGGTGCTTTAGAAAATCCGACTTAATATCAACTCGGACAGGTGCGCGCACTGACTGAAAGCAGGAGGGGGGTTTGGTGAACGCATCCCATTGGTTTATTTCTATTGGTCCGCCTTTGAGGTTAAACCATAGACTGTATAAATTAACAGACGTAGTCACGCCTATCTCCGCCGTTCTAACTAATGGGCCAAAAATTGGGGTTTCATGGAGCAAAATGGCCGCGGGGGCTGGAAAATGTGAAAAAACGCATCTGCTCATTCGTTAGCCGGCACGAGCCCCATTCATTTAAACGAGCAGGGCTGGACTGGCCATCGGGCGTACCGGGCAATGCCAGAAGGGCCGATGCCCATATTTGGGCCGGTCTGTTTGCCTCATACAAAAAACATGTTTGTGAAAAGTGTAAATCCGTTGAGAACTGTTCGAGGGGAGCGCGCGTGTCCGCGGGGCACCTGCTGTATGTACTGGAACGGGATTCTACCACCTCAGCGACCGCAGTGTTCCGGCATCCAGCGGCTCTGAGCTGGACGCGGGAACCGCTCACCGGGAGCCGCTCACAACACAACACGGTGAGCGCGTAGCCGCAACGTGACCATATACCCAAGACCATAAACGCGCACAGGACCATGCGTGTCTTTGCGTAATTTGTGCACCCAATAAATACACCGCTGCAGGAAACAGTCCGCGTCTCCCCTCTCCTCTCGAAGCGCGACTAAATTAAAGCTCGGGTGCCTAAATTTTCCATTGCATTAAAAGTTCATGTTTGAGCCCAAAAGTAAAATGTTGTGAAAAAATTGGTCAAAAAAAAGACTTTTTTGACCAATTCTCATCCCTGTAACAAACAACAGTGTTGTCTGTGTCCACCTCCCTCACTCTGAGACATGTTTATTACTCTGTTTAATGTAGACTATTGCACTTTATTTTTTTGTTGAAACTGTAGACATCCTGATCCTCTACAGTATGCTTCCACATACTGTATAAACCAGGGGTCGGCAACCTTTAGTGCTCCTCCAGTGGCTCCTGGAGCATTTTCAAAAATGTCTGAAAATGGAGTGGGAGGGCTATATTTTATTCCTAGTTTGAATGTGGTTTCTGTAGGAGGAAAAACATTCCTAACGTATTTCAATGCTGTAAAAATGTGTATAAGTAATATTCAATTCCAACATTTCTGTCAACGTAGTGCGTCATATCCTGTGACGCAGCCCCGCGCCAGGCGGCCGCTGCTGTAAACAAACCGGCGTGTGCGCACGGATCCCAAAGATAAAAAGAGAACGAGTCGATAATAAGACTGGACTAAGAACAAGACAGAACATTTGCTTTCAGTCAATGAGGAAGGACTGCTTCATGTTTGCGATGTAATGTTTTGTTGCAACACGAGGAACAATGAAGCACTAAATACCGTTCACAGGGATTACGTGAAGGATTCTTTCATACAAAATCCTGAGCACCTTTTTCAGACTTCAAAAACCTCCGCAAAGACTGTGAAAGAAAAGGCCATTAAGGACATTCAGCTCCAGCAAACTTCAGCCTGTGACGTGATTGATATGAGCGGACAGTGCAGGTGTGTGACCTTTGAGCCAAAAAGCAGATTTATTTACTGTATTTCTACAGTTGCATGAAGGCAAAAAAATGGAAGTCAAAGTTAAAGCAGAGTCATCACGTGGTGCGTCATTCTCTCCAGGACACGCTGCAGTGAAAACACACATTTGACAATCATGAATGCTAATCATGTATTTGTAGCCTTTACTTGGTCATTTAGATAATAGGCTAATGTAGCTACATTGTGTAACCTTCATATAAGCTTTATACAAGGCTGTTATTTTTTTGCGGCTCCAGACAGATGTTTTTAGTATTTTTTGTCAAATATGGCTCTTTGAACCTTTTGAGTTGCCGATCCCTGGTATAAACAAACTGTAAAAAACGTGACAAAAACATGCCTGGGCCGGTAAGAAGGAAAAAATGCCCGGGCCGTTTTTTTGTCCCAGTCCAGCCCTGTAAACGAGTGACTACAAAAATTCATAACAACTAAACTAGACTGGTCCAAAAAAATTCACTCCCCTCAGCATTGACACACATGTAGAACGGAGCTTTGGGCCAAGAGCCAACTTTTGGACCATCCTGTAAAGAAGTTTTTCGAGAGGTAAGAAGATACTATATGTTAGCATTGGCTAATTCTTATTCTGGGTCCACCCCCATCGGCCCGGGGTGGTATTGCAAGCATGTCAGCACACGTCATTTTGGCCCCGCCCCCACTGGGTTAAACGCATCTGGTCATGTCCATTCTTATTTGAAAACACATGAAAAACTTGACTACTCTCGGGGTTTAGGGACGTTTCCCCACAGCATCTGGATAAATCATTGACTGCATCTGAAATGCCATTTTACCCGTAAACAAAGACACGATGCAGTGCAAATGCATTTGTGACCTCAATTTTTGAAGTGATTCAAAACAATCAGATTATCAGGTAAATCAAACCGAACAATTTTATTTTAATTCATTTAACCTTTATTTAACAAGAAAACTTTAACTTTCCCAATAACTTTGTGTAAGCTCTCAGACGTTCAGGGATTAGTCAAAACAAAGGTTTAGTTATTCAAGTAATTCGAATTCTAATGTTTAGCAACTGACTAGTTTGACTGTGGTTATAGATGATGAAGAATGTTACATCTGAAAAATAGTTCCAGTTATTGCAGTTATTGAGAAAAAAACAAAGGAAGGTTTCTCACCCATCATCTGTACTTCAGTTAGCAGGTTTTTCTGCTTTAATATTCTCTTTGGAGAAGAACGAAACCTCGGGATAGCAACCGACAGGTTTGAACCATTGTCAAACAGAAGTTAGACATTAGAAATCAAATTACTTGAATTACTGAACTTACTATATTTATCATAAACTCTGTCACTAACTTTGATAACATTTTTGAGTTGTAAAAAACGTCAGTTATAAAAATGTAGCAAGGTTTGTAGGGTACACTCACTGGAATGTAGGGTGCACTGTTAAAATGAAAGGCTTTAATGTGAGCCTAATAGTGAGAGAAATACAGTACTCTTCTGTACAAAACACAATGCTTCATCATGTGTAATAGAAAGAATGATTTAGTCATTCTTGAGATAATAACCACTGTAAAAGGAGTGCTTTTCCAAACCTCCATAGCAAACGGTGGAGGAGTGAGAGTACGTTTGGCCCTTCCCCACAGAGCACATGCTGGAGCTGGACACCAGGCCCATGTCTCCACATCTGGGTATCTGCGGGGGGCGCTGGTTTTGTTTAAAGCCGTGCTCAGCTGAAAATACAAAGCCCACTGTTTGTGAGCTGATAAAATACACAAAGACACACGTTTTTTTTCATCACAATCTAGCAGCTATGCTATTGAGGAGTCAGACATACTCATAGACTCATACTATGATTACAGCATGTCCTCTTTAGAATGTAACACTTTGGACTTGACTTTTGAACAATTTTCAGTATGATCTAAAATGACTAAATATTTGCGTGTGCCCTTTTACTATAGTTTTTATAGTCTAAAAACTACAAAGCAGCGGATCACGTTGAACTTTTTATAATCCTTTTTATAATCTTTTACAATCCTTACCCTAACCCAAAATATGTGTGATGCTGTTGAGTCATGCCTGTATTGCATATTACACACTAGTAAATGCAATAATTGCCCTTAATGTGATTGTCTGGAGTTTGTCAGAAAAAAGAGAGAGAGAGGTAAATGATTTGAAAAAAAAACGACCCAAGCTCCTCCCTTCCTTTCTGATTGGTCTACGCCTACGCTTCCATAACAATCAATCAACACATTTAAATGATAATATGCGAACACGTTATACATATACATTATTAATACACATGTCAGAGATTTGATCTGTTAACGTTTTCAAAAGCAATCGCGGTAAACCCGAAGTCGCTATTATTATTAATTGAACATTATAGGACACATATGCAGAGGATCTGATTATGGATCAGAACAGCGCGGATGTTCAGAATTCTTTGTTCAGTTTTCATGTAGTTTCAGAGCCTAATAGAGGCTTGATTTGGAGGCTCCGCAAAAACAAACAACTGAGCATGCGCAGCTGCGAGCATCAGAGCCGATGATTGACAGCTCTTGGCATCACTTGATTGTTAAACTTTTGAGCTATAGCTAAGAGAAGGGAAGGCGCGACTTACCCGTAATATGAGAATTCATAAAATGACTTATTTTATAACAACATTTAAGGCCAGGAGGTCAATTAAATACAATTCCAGACTATCACTTTAATGTCTAATTGTTCATATGATTCCGAACTATTAAGATGTGTGTTAGTACCTTATCCTTATCTATGACTTGGTCTATTGTATGATTCTCATATCTCTCACTGTGTCCTGTAAGAATGGTTGGATCATGGCTCTCGCTCTCCTTCATTGGAAAATTCAAGTGATCATGTATAAATCTATAGATTGGGAATAAAGAATTTTAATTCAGTTTTTCCTCGACTGTATTCAGCTACTGTAGGGGCTTTGTATTTGAGAGCTGGTAGAGAGCTGCTTTGACTGTCCATACTGTTCTTAATCTTGTGCATGAAATGTAATGCACTTGATGTTTTGATTAGAGATATATCAAAATGCTATCATGGCATGTTTTACCTTTATTTTAAATCTAATTTTTTCAGGAAAACACAACACGGCATGTATTCTACTCAATGCAACGACGCCCAAAAGTAATTGGTATTATATTAAGAACATTCTATCAAAGAAGACCTTTTCTGAACTGCTAACTAGCATAATATCAATAGCCTATTATTGAAAAATATATATTAAGCTGTTCAAGGTGCAATTAGACTGTGTTTTTTTTTGTAGTAATTGAACTGATGCCAAGGCCTGTGTTTCTCTCTGGTCCACTGCAGCGATCCGCTTTGGCCGGATGCCCCAGGCGGAGAAGCTGAAGCTCAAAGCAGTGTGCAAGGTGAAGGAGAAGGAGCAGCCGCTGCCTTCAGACAATCGAGTCCTGATCAGTCAGATCCACAGCGCTTACATGAAGAACTTCACCATGAACAAGGCCAAAGCTCGTCTCATCCTCACCGGAAAAAACAGACAACCAGTGAGCGCCAACACACCCCGCCTTTACCTGACTACAATGTTAATATATCCATATGTTTTTGAAACCTTTAAGTAGATTCCCCTTCGGCCATTCAAACAATGGTCATGTTAAGGATAATATTTGCTTTTAATTGACTGCCATTGAGGTATTTGTTTGAGACTGGTGATTTGTGTCAAACTTCCCTCTATTCAACTGGGGATTACAGGACAACAAAACTAGATAGAAACAAACTTATTTTTGCTGATGAAAGTAGAAGATCCAGTCTTTCAGAATCTTGTTTCATATTTCACAGTCATAGCACATAATACTGTGGGTCTTGAGAATCAGGGAAATCATCAAAAATGGCTGGCAGTCAATGAGTTAAATGTTCAAAGTGGTGATGTGTAGTTAGTAGTACAATTATCTGGCTCAGAGAACATAAAAACTTGTTTGAAAAAAAATGTAATAGCTGGTGCTAGTCAAATAATGATACATCAAATGCGTCCCAATATTACAGTAATTTGTATTTTTGTTTCACTATGAACTTAATATTTCACATCTTCTCATCCTTCATCATCTCAGCCCCTCATCATACACGACATGGACACGTTTCAGCTGGCAGAGCGGACTCTGGCGGTCCATATGGTGAGCGAGAGTCCGGATCCTGCCCAGACCAGGTCCACAAACAAGCCCAGCCACGTCTGCGGAGAGGTGCAGCAGAGAGAGGCAGAGGCCCGCCTGTTCCACTGCTGCCAGAGCGCCTCTGTGGAGACGGTCACCGAGCTGACAGAGTTCGCTAAGGCAGTGCCCGGCTTCCAAAGCCTGGACCTGAACGACCAGGTGGGGGTCCGGAGAGATGAGTAGCGAATGAGTGTGTGTGTGTGTGTGTGTGTGTGCTACCAATTCATGTACTGTATAATTTATATTTAAATGTATTGGTGTATTTATTAAACGACTTCAATTTGAAGACAACCAAAAAACATAAATTGCCACACAAGAGATTAAAAGCGCTGCCATGTTGAATGAAACGACACATGAGGGGAGGGAGAACCAAAGCAAAGAGGCGGGGGCGAGCAGGGAAGCAGCACAGAGAAGGTCAACAATCCAAATACAAACAGTAAATAAGTAAAATATGCATATTAAGTTAAAAATATATACAGTATTGATATATTGTAAATATCTAGATATTGCCCACATCGACCATTACTATTCCCACATTGTTCAGTTGTACATCTGAACGTACTTAAATAACTTTTATTTAGAGTTATACAGTACATCCTAATATCACAACATAATAACAAATGACTTTCCAATGGTATAAAAAGTATAATAATTTCCCACTTGAAATGCAACAGCAATTAAAATAGAGAAGCTTACTTAATCGGCAAATCTTAATTTAAGATTCAAAACGTACTAAAATCTTCACCTCAGCGTTTTAAGCCTATTTCTGTCTTTTTATGCATTTTGTTTGAAAAGGACTTAAATACTGCCACTTGCCTCATCATTCAACATTTATGGACATTGTTCATCAACCCCTTACAGACCAATGGCTCTGTTTTATTTTTAGTTGTTTAATTATTTTTTAATTATTGCCTTTCCTGTGTTTGAACTGTTTGTTTCTCTGATCTGTGTTGGCGAATCAACAACTTAAATTTAAGCCCTCTGAGATGACCACTGTTGTGATTGAATAATATATAGAAATAAATTGAATCTAAATAAATGCAGTATTTGTGATTAAGATTGTTGTTGCAGCCCGAGTAAAAAGGTATTTTAGAACTTAATTAACATTTGTGGTTTTGTTGATAAACTGGTTGATGATGACCAAATTGTTTTGTTCTTTAATGTTTGGGAGGCATGGTGGCTCATTGTTTGCATGTTCTCCCTATGTCTGCATAGTTTTGTCTAGGCTTTCTGCTTTCTCCTACCTCTAAAAACACGAGGATAGCATAAATAAAAATCAATGAGGTAATGAAAGATTCAGGATCTACAGGCTTGAAAACATATATAATTAAATTAAACTCACTCGAAACTCCCAAAAGTTGACCTTTCTACTATCAGCAAACAGAAAGAGACAGTGTGTCCAAGGTGTTTGTAATACAACACGTGTCAAATGAGCCACAATGCTTTCCATGCTGGTCATTTCTCTTTGTCAAAGTTATCTCTCCCACTGGAATATTCCACAGTTGGGCATTCATTTACTTTTATTCTGAATGCATTTCTATTCCACAGATCTGACCAGTAAAGCTGCATAATATATTGAAGTTGCAGTTGGAAATCTAAAATCCCACATTGTGTAACATCAAAAGCAAATAGATTGTGTTTATGGGGCTTATGGAACAGTGTGTGTACAAACCATGGATCTATTTTAATATTGGTACAAACCAAACATATACATACATCAATATCACCAATATATCATCAATGTCAAGTTTGTGAGACATAAAAAAGTGCTATAAATGAGGCCCCAGATTTGCAATTGTACCTTTTTAAACAAAATGTAATGTTCTAATGAGGCAGGATTGTTAGTTTTGGGAAAAATATCAAATTGTATTGAATTGAAAGTGCCCTCTATCTGGACATCATGTGACGTTATGTTTATAGATACAAATCATATCATAGGCCTTGAAAGATACCCATCCTGAATGTACTGTAGCTGATGCATTTAAAGTTACAGTACGATATTCCTACAAAACCTCCTGTGTGCTCCGTAGGTGACTCTGCTGAAATATGGCGTGTATGAAGCGCTGTTCACGCTGCTGGCCTCTTGTATGAACAAAGACGGGCTGTTGGTGGCACGTGGAGGAGGCTTCATCACTAGAGAGTTCCTCAAAAGTCTGCGTCGGCCGTTTGGGGACATGATGGAGCCCAAGTTTCAGTTTGCAACTCGCTTCAACTCCCTGGAGCTGGATGACAGTGACCTCGCACTGTTTGTAGCAGCCATCATCTGTTGTGGAGGTAAATGTTCAGACTGAATCATGGATGGTTGAGTCTTCATTTATCCTACAAGAGGAAAATCAAGTTCCCTTCAGTAGACAATAAAAACACAGGCAATAGACAGATGCTGTAAGAACTGATAAGGCAAAGAACACACAAAAGCCTCTCAAGTTTAAGGCTTTGAATAAGCCAACAATAAAAAGTAACAAATGAATACGGTCCAAATATCAAATGTTAATAGAACTATGAACTGAATGTGACCAAACAAACCTGACATTAAAACACACGGGGGACACTAAAGCTACTCAGTTTATTTAAAACAATGCATGCAATAATGTGTTAAATCTGTTGGTCTGGACAGTTGGCTAAAGGAATTTCAAATAAATGATATTGATAAGAATGATTTATAGGCAGCTAAGGTATCAACGATAAATAATGTAAATTTAATTCTCAAGTGTGTGGTAGATAAAGATATTAATGAAAAAAAAAATCATGTAATCTATTAGTTAACCCCCTCATAAGATCTTTGGTATGATGTCCTATGGTGTAATTTATTATTATTACATTGGCGGTCTGTTACTTTCCGCTTTGTGAAGATGGAGAGACCAGTGAGCCCGTCCCCCCAGCTTCATGATTGGATGCCAACAAATCAAATCAGAAGATCCTGATCATTGGTCTGTTCTCCTCCAGAAAAGTGGTGGTGGTTGTTCTATAAATATATGTTCTAGAAACATACTTAACATAGACGATACTACAGGGTCATATAGTCAAAAAAGTATTTGTTTCCAAATGAAATTCAATTGAAGAGTCAGACCTCACCTTTAAACTAGATAGAGAATTAAGAAAAATGTTGTTGCTCTTACATGATCTGCTCTTCCAGCTCTAGTTACGTATGTGCTTTAGTGAACTCCAGCTGACTTGGTCTCTACCTTAACTCCAGCAGCAACATTAATTTGCATCCCTAAATGAGAGACTCATGTGACATGTGTAGCCAAAATACCATACATAATGTGGTTATTGTTTTGTATATTTCATAAATCAGCATCAGCTTATCCTGTTTTGAAAACCTGTGTTGATATTGTCCATGTAATGATTCCCTTTGTGGACCCATTTTCCTCAGACCGGCCTGGCCTGGGGGACATTTCTGTAGTGGAGCAGCTACAAGAGAGTATTGTTCAGGCTCTCCAGCTCCACCTGTTGGCCAACCACCCAGACGAAGCCTTCCTCTTCCCCAGGCTGCTGCAGAAGCTGGCAGACCTCAGAGAGCTCGTCACTGAGCATGCTCAGTTGGTCCAAGACATCAAGACAACAGAGGACACTTCACTGCATCCACTGCTTCAAGAAATATACAGAGACATGTACTGAGAAGTGGATTGCATCTATTTGGATTCTTGAGATATGTGGGATCTTCTGAGGGGTATCAATTTGCAAGGTCAAATGTTGTGCCTTTTATTGTCTTTGGAAATGTTGATTAGTATATTTAAGAAAAAAAAAAGAAAAAGAAAAAAATGAATTGAAATTGGGATTGAAAAACATTCAAGATACTAAACCGCACAAAAATAAAAATGCATTACAAGGGACTTTGGCTTTCTAAGTGATTCTGCAATGGACTCAAATGTGGCTCCCGAACGGGAGAAGCTGAATAATGTATTTTTAAACTGTATCAAATACTAAACAGGAATGATCTTGGTCAGTATGAAATGTTTAATATTCCCATTTGTATTTTATGTACATAGAATTTAGAGGAAGGTTTCATTGAAAAGTAATGCATAAAGTGAATAGGATATGTGTTATTCATAAGATTTTGTATTGTGAGCTCAAGAGGTTAGTTGAAAGCAGTGAAGCTGTGTACTGTTTATTTTACCCTTTCTCTAACATGCCAATCAACAATGGGCACAATGATGATACATACATATCATGATATGTAGATGATAGAAGTGTGTGGTTTTGGAAGTAGCTTATTCATCCACTTGAAAAATAAAGCTTCTGTTTTTACGAGAAAAGTTTATATTTATGTTTTTTGTTCCTGGCAAATACATGTATAATCAACTACTATTGAATCCCTATTGATGACACTTACAACATTGTGTTCCATTTGTATCTTTGCTTCACATTTCTCCCAAGAACAACAACTCGCATCTCACATCTGCGACCTGAGCAATCCAAAATGTGATCACTTCTCTTGTGGCTTGGGACAGGTCCAAAGTGATGTTTACTCTAACTTCCTGTTAGTCAAAACATACCTAAACAGATTTGAAATGAAGAGTACATAAATATAAACACTGCAATTCAAACCGCAATGTGAAATAATTTATAAAATATATAATTGAATAAAAACAGTAAATCAATAATAGGTTTAAGATGGAGGACTAAACACCTCCCACGACTTTTGTCAGAGAATAAAAGTAAATTCTAAGACGAGACTACGAGCACTTTAACTAAATCTAAATAAGTAGAAACCGCAGTGATGCTGCCAGCTGTGGGCAATGTTTGTTATAGGGTTCCCAAGCGTATACATTTAGAATCTGTAGGGTTTTTTCACACACTAAAAACAAACATACATTTAATGTATAGACTTACTATATGAAAATGCACTTCTAATTGGTAATGTAGAATAAAACATACATAAGGTTGTTCATGCTAAAGCAAGGGGCAAGCAATATTACAATATTGTTTTCTTCTTTTTGATCCTTTTCACTGGTGTCGCTGGACATTTTTAAAAATATATAATTTTCATATGTTGTGTTAATCCACAATCAAGAAACACACGTAATATAATTCTATGTATAGTTTAAATTGATTAAAGTGCTTTGTTGACTTTGGTCTCTGAAAGGCGCTATATAAATAAAGATTACGTACTTACATACATAAAAACATTGTAATGATCCATTTCTGTCCGGTCCTTACCCATACATCTTATTTGACCCAGATACTCAGAACCCGCTCCAGTAGATGGCACCAAAGCGTCATCCATCAGACAGAACCAAGACTGACACGTTCAAGAAACCAGGAAGTCTCGTACGTGTTGTTTTTGTTTTAGTCAAAATGAGCGAAAGTAAGACGGAACCACCGCCTACACTCTTCATCTGTGACCTGTGTGGTTTAAACAGCCCATTCTCCTATTATGGCCAGAAACCACCCAACACCAGAGCTATCGTGTAAGCTAATGTGAAGCTAACATGCTAATGCTAACATGCTATTGCTAACCATGTTCCTCACACATCCATGTGTCCATCCGAGGCTATCATACAGTGTCTAGTGTATTGCATTAGAGGTGGATATAAACTGGTACCCTGCCGAGCGGTTGATGTCATGGTTGTTCTGTGTGTTGCAGGCTACTTGAGGAGTGTTTCGTGGCCAAAGATCCCTTCAGTCCGGATAAGGAGAAGTTTCTCATATTGGGCTCTTGCTGTAGCCTCTGCGACAAGTGTGTGTGCGTGGGAGCGGTGAGTGCATCATGTGGGTTATTTAGTTTTGGAAAATAACTTCTGCTGGCATTATGTTTTATTTTTAAGCCTTGATTAACATAGTTTGTATCATAGGTATATAAACCTATGATACAAAATGTTTAATATTTTATATATATATATATATTATATATATTACATTATTTTGTTTTAATGGGGTGAATCGTGTACGTAATTTTTGTGTAGAACAATCCATCTCATTAACTATAATAACAATGATACACATATATAATTATGTATGACTTACAGTACAGACCAAAAGTTTGGACACACTTTCTCATTCAATAAGTGTCCTTTCTTTTCATGACTATTGACTGTACATTCACACCCAGGCTGTGTAAGGACTGTTTGACCAATAAGGAGAGTGGTGGTGCTGGGCCAGATGACCTGGCCTCCAGTCACCGGACCTGAACCCAATCCAGATAGTTTGGAGTGAGCTGGACCACAGAATGAAGGCCAAAGGGCCAACAAGTGCTAAGCATCTCTGGGAACTCCTTCAAGACTGTTGAAGACCATTTCAGGTCACTACCTCTTGAAGCTCATCAAGAGAATGCCAAGAGTGTGCAAAGCAGTAATCAGAGCAAAAGGTGCTACTTTGAAGAACCCAGAATATAAGTCGTACATAATTCCTCATGAGTTAATTCATAGTTTTGAGGCCTTCAGTGTGAGTCTACAATTTTGATAGTCATGAAGATAACAAAAACTCTTGAGATGGGTGGGTGTGTCCAAACTTTCGGTCTGTACTGTACGTCTCAAAGCAAAAATGTTATGGGTCAGCCCCATGTCCACTCAGGTCTTTCTGTTGGGAGTTTGCATGTTTTTCCCCATGTCTGGATGGCATTTCACCCTCTAGATTCCCTCACCAAATATGCTGCAGTATGAATGTAATGTAAATTATTTAGGCTTTTTTTGTAAGAATTTGAACTGGCACACGGGAAAGCAATCATCATAAAAACAAGAGAGTAAACACAAACATATCTCAATAAGGACTGTATCTCATTCAATCCTCAGTTGACTCTGAACTTGTGCTTTATGTATGTCTCGAGTGAATCTGATGGATGACACAATAGAAATCAATTAATCCACAAGTCTCCGTGTCCCAAGAAATCCCTACAGCTATGTCCATAGAGCAGGGTTTTTCTCTCAACAGAAAACTTTAGTTTCATATTACCATCACTATCCAGGGAGATGGAGCCAGGGCACATAAAGACAAAGCTATGGTTTTGCTTTTCATACGTTTTTAGCTGAGATGTCAAGTATTTGTACTCCATCAATGTACCTGAAAAAAGTACAGACACTACTCATTACTTTTCTCTTTTACTCTAATCTATTCCTTACATTCAAAAACTGGGCTCGTTACTTTAACTTTAGGAACTTTGCGGATGAAGATGTGTTATTTTTCTGTTCTTTTTTTGGGATTGTTTCTGAGCATAGAGACGCATGCAAGCGTAATGTCCGTGCATGTATCTGTCCCACAGCTTCAGCGACAGTATCTGTAATGACATGCCTGCTCATCATTCTTAGTTTAAGTTAGTATTTTAGTATTTGATCTTAAAATCAACATCAGTTTATCTGCCCCTTTTTGAGTATAATTGCATTGTACCATAGTACAGCATTTACAAATAGAAAAAGATGATAATTCGATAATAACAATATGAATAGTGGCAGCTCTATAGATGCAGATTTTAGTCATTTTGGTTTTGTTTTTTTCCTGAGATGTTTAGCATACCGAACGGTACTTTTGCTTGAAGTACTTAGTTACTGGTACTTTTGACACCTTGGTCTTTAGGCTAAACATGGACTAATCTATACAATGTACTGAGAATATAATATAATCTCAGGTAGGGGTGTGTGTACAAAGTGTTGACTTTAATAAAAAAAAAAACGATTTAGGAACGTATCTGAACACTTGAGAAAATTGTAATCTTTTCTAATGCAGTTTTTTTATATTTTTATTTTAAATGTTGACCATACTAGTTTAACAGAGAGCGCCAGAATCCATCCCAGGGCATAAACACCAATCACTCCAAAGCGCTGCTGTCAAATCACAGCACTTGGAAAAATCTTTATCCCTCTTTCTGTCTTCCCGCTCTCAGGACTGCAGCCTTTTCTACACCAAGAGGTTCTGCATGCAATGTGTGAACCAGCACCTGGACCAGTTCCCCCATCAGATCCGTGCCGAGCTGGCCAAGAGGAGGCAGAGCTCCAGCACCACAGTGTCATGAAGCCGACGCCGAGGCGGGTTCAAGTCCAGGACACCATTCACAGAGCCGCACTGAATAGCCTTTGTCACCAGCAAGAGAAACAAGAGTGCGCAAATCCGAAGCCAGTGCACTTCGGTTTAAACCAACAAGGACGCTATTGATGAAGATCCTGCAAATTGTGTTTTATTTATAAGTTTGAGTATGATTTGAGTACATGAGTACTGGAATGTTGAAAAGCAGGGATCCTCTGTTTGTTATGGTATAACAAAATGTTTACACATTGAGATAACCATTTCTCAAACATTTGTATTCAGAAGTGAAGGTTACAGTAATGAAGGCGTATGCATTCCTTTAGATTTAAATAAAAGAGTATATGAGGTAATTCCTGCTTATTTTTACTTATACATGAATAGATTAACCATCGATGACACTCCATGGTTCACCAATGAGGAGAATTCTGGAGGGTGTAACAAGTTTAGTACGTCCTATTAATATAGCCCATTTCACAAACCCAGGTCACAAAAAGCTCTTTACCAAGTAGATTTGCATTTTCATTTGCATCTACTTTTTGTCTCATTAGGAAAAATGACTCATCTATTTAGAGGGAAGTCATGACGAGTTTCATAAGCTACAAAACTCAAGAGCCTGCTCCAGTGATTCATCTTAAATATCTTAAATATAAAATATATTGCATCACTTTTCTCAAGTCTGACCTGAGGCCTAGCTCCGTACACTACACACTATATTTATGCAACATGGGTCAGGAGTCTGGAGGACACGTTGTGGCACCTGCTTTTACAGGGTGAAGTACTTCTAACCCTCATGAAGAAGTTAGTACTGCTTAAATACCCTAGGTTGCTTATTACGAAGTAGAAGACTTTAATATTGTTGTCCTTGCTCCTTAAAACGGGCAGCTCCTGGTTTGGTCAAGTGAAGCTTTTTCTTTGGCACCTAGAAGATGTATAGGTACGCTCCTGTCATAAGTACACACATACTGTTCTTCGACCATGATTTCCCCCTTCTAAATCATGTTGTGTTGCTGCTCACTGCTGTCATGAATCTGTTTTAGAGTTTTATTAAACTTAACCTTTTCAAATGTGTAATGATCCACAGTTGTCATAGATTAATATAGACAGTATGTAACCAGTTATTGCTGTTATGTATTTATTTGACTACTTAAAGCAAACTAAAAAGACGTATTGGTTACTAGTAATTTCACTACCTGTTATTGACCGTGTAGATAACATTGTATGTGACAAATATCTATGTTTCTAAAGCAGACCAAGGCACATTGTTTCTTTTAGGTGAGGTCTTTGAACTGCACATTAATCAACACCAGTATAAAACAAATACAAATATAAGCTACAAAGCTAGTTTGCATTTGTAGTCCCTAGGGCAAAATAACCATAAATAACAACATACAAGAATATTAGTATGTGTCACTGCAACAGTTCAACAAAGCAACTGCAAGTCCACGGTCATGTACCTGTTTTTGGAATGGCTTCTTATTCAGCAGAAGTCCTGTTTTGACCATAATGTTGGCTGCTTTGCCTCTATGAAGTGTTCACCAGTAAACACAATGTTGTTGAGGAAATAATCACGTGTGACTCGTCTTGTGTTCATTTGAACTAAGATCAATTGTTTTATTTCTCTCTTTTCCCTCCCATTGTCTGTTTTTTGATCTTGTGATTTTCTTCCACAACAAGTATCCAGCTCTGGGATCACTATGTACCGTACTGTGCCAATTTGTTGCATTGTTAATACAATTATGGATTGGTAGAGATCCCGGTGATAAGAGTAAGAAAGCAGATGACCTTGCTGTATTGGTCACGAGATGTGTGCCTCTGGCTCTGTTTCAAGGGTTAATTGAAACGGCATGGTCCTGAAGCAGCCCCGCTGGCTTTATTACCAGCGCTGCGGAGGAATGCGCAGGGACACTGGCTCATGAACACGCTGAACTCCTAAACTGGAGAAGTATTCTCCCTCACGCTTATGTCCTGCCAATGACCACAAGACCCAGTGCAGAGAAATGCGCCTGTGCTGCTCAAGGTCGCCATCAGCGCCTTGTTTCCCTCTTGTTTACAAGTAACGCGGCGAAGCACGCCGCCCTGGCACCAGCATGACAGTCTGACAGCGATAGGCAGTGCGCCAACCATGACTGAAGGCCTTCTGCGCAGTGATGTCATGACACATTTGTAGCATTTACTGTTTATAATGTTACTCCCCTTGAACGACCTTGTTTATTTCTACTCGCATGCAACAAACAATAAAACGTGCTTGCAGTTATTTTGTAGCGTAATGTGTACCTGCAACACTCTTGGAAAGTATTTCTTCAGTTAACACCCGAAAACAACAACACCATTCTCAGTTGAAATGGAAACAAAATGCTAACACGCTTAAATACCTCATAGTCCTGAGACCAAACACAAAAAGCACATCTCTCTTTTATCGTCGTGTTGATGACTTTTTGAATTGCCTTTATCTCCTCCGTGTGAGTGGCGCCAAAGCAAATGAGCTGTGTGCGTAAAACCACTGCGTCTGTGCCGCTACGGTCTGATGGATAGTGTAGGTGAAGAGTCCACCGCAGATCATGTCCTGCAGCCACACACTTTCATGCGGTTCTTATCTCTTTACGCTTGGAGCAAGGGGGAGGTGCTGCCAAAAACACGCACCAAGCCTTTCTGTTAGAGCTTGGCACGTGTCAATGACGGGATAATAGGACGAATTTTATCAAAAGACCTACTATTATACATACATTATACCTTAATACCCTCTTCTGTGTTCATTCAGTGCATTGAATCGTGTGCAGCTGAACTACAACTGTAGCTGCTCCCGTTTGACTTTAAGAGCGCACAGAGGGCGGTCCTTACGCACAGACCAATGAATTGGCTTCTCTGTTTAAATAGTCCTTGATGTCAACTTTCCTCCCTCGCTCACACACTCATAGCTCTCTCTAACGCCATGTTGGCTGTTATGATCTGACTTGTTTTCTTCTGCTTACTACGGACCTGACAGGAGTGGCTTGCATTAAAGAGCACAGCGCCGTGCGGGGAGGTTCCTTCTCTGGTTTACATGCGTCTTTTGGATGAGCAGCTCGGAGGATTTATGCGTTGCTTCTATTTCGTTCATTTAAGAGGAATACACATTTGGAATAACAACATTCGAGGAGACTTTGTTGTCATATGTGCATAAAAATGTCAGATGTTCGCCTTTCTAACGCGAGCCCGACCCTGGAGAGGGTCGATGCGCGGCAGCCGGACAGCCTGCGGCCGTCAGTGCGTAGATGCCTCTTCGGCTCACCTGACCCAGTGGAGCTGCAGGAGATCTTTCAAGACTTTCAGCAGGGAGAGGTGCGCCGCTTCAGGGACACCTATAACTTTGATCCAGTGGAGGACAGAGCACTTTCATCCGGGCGATTCCAGTGGGAGGCGGACGCGGACGCGCCAGAATTTTACCGCAGACCGCCTCACGGGAGACGCACCGGAGACAGCGCTCCTCTCTCAGGGGAGACGGGACAGGGGCAGGGGCGTACGCCTCAGGAGCGCTCCAGGAAGCGGCCCTCCGACCCTCCAGGTGAATGTGCAACAGGCTTTTACTTTAGACAAACTAACTACATTTAGTTGTGGGCTAAATGTAAAAACACGTGTCGTATTTCAGAATCAGAATCAGAATCATTTTTATTGCCAACGTAAGTAACGGGAGGTCACAGACTTGGAAATTGCTTTGGCTCAGTGCAACAGTCAAAAAGAGATAATAAAAATAAGAATAAAAAACACTTCTAAAGAATAAATTTAAATTTAAAATAGAGTTACAGTTACTATTTACAATATACAAGTGCACATGGTGCACACAATGTAAGGTGACAGCAGTACAGTGAAGTAAAGTGACGTATGATGGGCAGTAAAGTGACTTTATAAAGGGCGGGGGGACAGGTTAAGAAGTGTTCAAGAGTCCAACAGCAGAGGGGAAGAAACTGTTCTTGTGGCGGGAGGTTCTAGTCCTGATGGACCGCAGCCTCCTGCCTGAGGGGAGTGGTTGGAATAGTCCATGTGCAGGGTGAGAGGGGTCGGCTGTGATACGACCAGCCCGGCCTCGAGCTCGGGCGACGTACAGGTCCTGCAGCGATGGAAGGCTGCGGCCGATCACTTCCTCTGCAGAGCGCGCAGAGCGCGTATTTGGGGGTGCTGTGTTCCTTATGAAAGCAGTAGTAAAGTGTGCGCGCAGCAGGTGCGTGTGTGGACGTGCAGCTCCACTCGACTTCATCTCAGTGTGTTTCTTCAGGCTCCAGCTGCACGGAGCCGCGCACTAAGAGCTCCCGCACTGACGGGGAGGACGGGGAGGCACAAGACCCAGAGAAGCGGCCCGAGGAGCAGCAGCAGTCTGAGGAGCAAGAGGAGCAGCAGCAGTATGAGGAGCAGCAGCAGTCTGAGGAGCAGCAGCAGTCTGAGGAGCAGGAGGAGCAGCAGCAGTCTGAGGAGCAGGAGGAGCAGCGGCCGCAGTGACAGGTGAGCTGCGATGTCAGTGCAGTGACACTAGTGCATGTCAGTGCCCTGCTCGGCCTCCTGTGGCGACCACACGTCACGAGGCTGTGAAGTGCACAGTTATGTTTTCAACATTGGTTTCCTCTTCGTCCACAGCAGCGGAGCTGGTGAAATACTGTAGCCTTCGTCATCTGACAGCAGCACAGAGTGGAAGCGGCCTTTGGAGGGAGCCCGGGCTGCACAAAGCACTGAATATGTACACTATCATGTTTGGCACTCTTTTCAAATGATTTCCTCAGAATCAGCAGACAATGTAGCACTGTGCAAAAGGATTTTGCTCATTTTTTCTACTACCTACGTTTCAAATGTAGCACATAAAAAGCTTAATATGCTTTTCATACGTTTTTGTCCAATGTTTTTGTGTGAATTTGACTTTGAAGTTGCAGTGCAATTTCCAACAAAGAAATGTTTGTTTATGGTGGTCATGATGTAATCTTATTCAGGTAAATTGATGTAAGTTAAATGCAGATTTCAAAGTCAGGGTTATTGGGAAAAGTGGCTGTATAGTCCCAGTGAAGGCCCAGATGGACACACCGTGAGTGGAGCTCCGTCTGACAGGGGACAGTCACCGCAAAGTTTACATGCAATTCACCTGTCCTATTGCCCAGTTTGGTTTGTTTTTTTGTTATTTTATTTTGTGGCCAAAGTCAGTGCCTTTAGTGGGACCCCCAGGCGGGTGGCTTAACTGCTGAGCAATATTCAATCAGATTGAACAGTATTTGCTAATAATCCTAAGATAACCTTTATTAAATTAGATAGTTGCCTTCCCCAGATGTCCAGGATATCAATGTTTAAGTCACTGGACTACATTATGCAAATATGTGAATCAGAGATGAGTCTTTGAATTGTGGAATTCATGTGGAACATGAAATTGCACTATTATTGATTTTCATTTTGTGAGGGGCAGAAAACAAAGTTACACTGCCTGTGTAAAACTGAAGTGTACCTGTGTGCTTTTATGAGAAAACACTGAAAAAATAAACTAACTTATTTATGTTCAGATTTGTGTATGTCTAGCTTTCCAAAGCAACATTTTTTTTTCCACATTTGTAGATTGCGTATTTTCATTTTTGTTTTATGACAAATAAACTCTTGCTAAACTGAGCCTTAATTGATTTGATGACGTGTTGTTTGTCTCTCAGAGTAGAAGCTGCAGAAAGCTGCTTCATTATCAACAATAACAACAAACACAGAGACACACATGTTGTAAATACACTGGACTTTTACACAATAATAATATGCAAAATAAAGTGAAAGTATTCCAAGTATTCTTAAAAAGTACTTTGAAAAGTAGAAAAGATTGCACCATTGCCATATTGTATTTGTATATCTTTTTGACAGGTTCCCATCGATTTGATATTTTTTCATGATTTAGACTTTTTATCTATGTATCATCTACTTACAACATGACAAAGTTGTTACTGTCCAACACAAACAGTGGGTTAAAGATCGGCTATAGCATGAGACGTACATTTTTATTTTGCAGGAATCCTCACATCGTTGTTATTTATGCAAAGAAAAATAAAAGTTCACGTCCAGCCTCTAAAAGTCCATGCTCCGGGCCAGTTTCGCCCCTGCTCAAGTTGAAAACAACAAGTCCTAAGGAAAAGAAAAGAAGGGAGGGGGGGTAGTTCGTAGTGAATGACTGGTTTGGGAGCCAAAGAGCAGGCGGCGATGGAAAGCACACCACTCCACATGCAGCCAATGAGAGAGGAGGGGGCGGGAGCACAGACAGAACAGCCTGTTCTTTTCACCAAACACACACCACCAAATTAGTTTCATTGGCCGTGTCTTTCCTGTTGATACCAGCGCAGTGTAGGAGTCAGGGCTGCTCCCAAAGAGATCAGCTCCAAAGAGAGAGAGCAGCGCACACCTCCAGTTTGAGCACAAGCATTTTGCGATTTAAGACCACACTATCTATGTAGTGCTATGTCTGCGACTAGGAAGACCACATATTCAAGAAATAAAAACTGGGATCCACTTGTTTTGGGCATCAGTACTACATTTGTGAGAAAAAAGCAAGAGATTTTGCATGACTGCATTTAAACTGGCCTATTTTTTTTTTTTGTTTCATAAAAATAATATTGTAGAAGAAATAATATGCATTATTATTGGTTGATTATAAGGCTATTTATTTTGTCAAATCATTAAGTTTGTCTCTTGTTTTAGAATGTGAAAGAATATTTTCAGGAAAAAATATATGGTGAAACAAGTGGGAAGGGTTCACCCACTAATAGGGAACGTGAGCTGGGATTAGACGAGTGACAGGTTAGTTTTACCGTACTGATGATGTGCTGATGCAATAGTAATTGCAACAACACATCATGCAACAATTGGGCGGCACAGTGGCTGAGTGGATAGCACTCTTTCCTCTCAGTCAGAACAGGGCCTTTCTGAGTGGAGTTTGTATGTTCTCCCCGTGTCTGTGTAGATTTCCTCCGGGTGCTCCGGTTTCCCCTACCACTAAAAACATGCACAATAGGTATGAATGTAAATGAGAGAGTGAATGGATGGTGTTGATTGGGGTTGATGCACCAGTGTGTTTGGCGACTCGCTTCCGTCATCACCGTGTGTGGAATGAACAATATCTGAACTCTGAACATTGTAAAGCGCTTTGGGTGACCTTGGTCTGTAAAATGCGCTTTATTAATGAACATTACTTACTTACTTAAGGGTAAATAACGCTATCAACCTGCACGATCCCTGAACCACCAGAGAGAGGTGTAGACATTGTTTTGTTTTTTTGAAATTTGAAAATTACACTCAGCAAACACAGATAATTGTAAAAGCAAGTCATTTCACTTGAGAAATTACTCAAACTAATTTATGGGCAATACTTTTACTTTTTACTAAGGTACTGAGTGTGATGCAAGCCCCGGTGATCCAAGATGGCGTCCTATTCAAATCAATGGATTGTGCTCAGTAGCACATGTGCCACCATCGGGACCGAAAGATTAGCGGAACTCGCACATATTTTGGCATTTTTATTTTCTGTGCAGTGAGTGCGCTCCCATGATGCTTTGCGCCAAATACGTATGTGTGGTTCTCATGGACGTGCACAGAGGGGCTCGGCCGCGCTTTGACCAATTAGAGCTGCTGATCAGGGCAGCGGTGGAGCAGAGTCAGAGCAGAAAGGATTTAACAAGAAAAAAGTTTAGGATGACAAGGGACACTAAAATCCCCGCAAATTCCAACCTTTATGAAAACTGTAGTTTCTCTGTCAGCTGAGGTCCAGTTGTTTTAGTTTACATTGAGCTCTATGAGAGAATTGTAATGTACGTGCTTCGATGCTTTGAGGTTGCATCAGGAAACACCAAATCAGACAAACAATATCGACAGCGCAAACTCTGCACAAAAAGCTTAAACCCTAGACACACAGCAGTTGAAGAGAAGATGTCTTTTTTTCCCCCAGATTGACTAAAATCTCAGACAGAGATTTGAATAATTCTGAGGTGGATATATTTTGATATGTTCTCCACAACACACGTGGCAGTGGAGGAGCGAGGATCCTGCAGTAAACATATTTCAGGTTGGTACAGTACGCAGAATGGCCTCAGAGCTGGAGCAGTGATGTCATCGTGAGCTTGTGATATGACATCACCACTCTATACTCAAAGACGCATACACAGTTAGAACTTTTGGACCATTTTTCAATGTTTCAATTGTTTTTTGTTTTTTTTACAATATGTGTATTTACCGGTGTTACCATCCGGCTCAGCTTGCATGTAAAAGAAATTAAACAATTAAAACCAAGAGTTTTTTTGTTGTTACCCGGTGTTATTTATTCAGATGACAAAATTGGTAAAAGAGGTATAACACAATTGGATTAAATATTTACAAACACACAGAGTAAATAATTAATGTTTTGCTGTTTTGAAATCATTGTATCAGCAAAACACAGAACATTTTAATCAGAAAGAGCGAAGTTACTGTACATGTTAGAAGGTCTGGATATTAACATGGATGGATCTAAAAAGTACTCTGAAAAATCGGATCTAGGCATGTGACAGAGGCCAAAGATATTTGTAAGTGAAAACTATATAGGCTTTAAGTCCTGCAGTGCGTGGCTTTGGTCCTTGTTCTGTAGCTTAGGTCCTGTATCTCGCCTGTCCGTCTGTATGAAGCGGATATCTCTCTCTCCCCGAGGTTTCTCACTTTTCTCCCTTTGGGTTTTTTTCTTGCCGATGATGTTAGAGGCTCTAACAAGAAGGACTGTGGTGATGGACACGTTGACATTCTACAACATTTACGGACATTTATCAACATTCATGGACATTGGTCAACTCCCTTTGGACCAATACATATGTGTTCTATTCCTTCTATTTGAACGGTTTGATTCTCTGATATGTGTTGGCGATTTCAATGGTTTATGTCCCTTTAGATGACCACTAAATTGAATAGAATCCAACCGTTTCTTAATTAAATAGTTATCCCTTTCAAATGGTTTGCGTTTATTAATGATTTTATTCCTTTCTCTCTTATTTTTGTAAAGTTGAGTTTCCTTGTGTAGGAATTGTGCTTTACAAATAAACTGGCCTTGTCTTGCCGATAGCATCAAAGACAGGTGTGAAGCAAATTACGGATATGAACAATATTTTCTCCAAACACTTAATATAATTAGATTTAAAGCTGCAGGCACGAATCTTTACAACTACAACACATGTTATAATTTCCATCTGACTATTCATTCAATCTCAAAACATTTTAGTTCTATCAGCATTTTTTTACATGCATGTAATTTTATCCTTACATCATTAGATCAGCTTTTTCAGTGAGACAGAAAGAACCTCCCTCATTCAATCAGCTCCCGGCACAAACCGTCCAATAATCACAGGGCTCTTTGTTTGAAGAGTATGCAAAAGATAACATAAGATGAAGACTTAATGTGGTCTGATTTGTCCGAAGCACTTTATTTTTATAGGACAGTTCATTTTGTTGAGACAGACACCATGTGTTATTAAAGAACGTTAGGAATCCCAGCTTTAAGAGACAGGCTGTAAAATTTGGTATTCTATCCCAGTTTGGCTTCTATTAACATCAAGGGTTATCTAACCAATGCTGTATTTCAGCCAAAACGTTAATCTCGTTAGTCTAGGCGTTTCTGCTTAGACTGCTGCACCC